TTCCTGTCTTCAAGAACTCCGGCGACCCTCTGACCCTTCCAACTACCGTCCTATCAGTCTCCTTCCCTCTTCGGCAAAATCTTCTAAGCTCTAATCAATACCGGGTGGTTAACCACCACATCCCATAATCTGCTCTCAGACAAGCAATATGGTTTCCGCTTTGCCAGATCTACAGCCGATGTGCTCACAGCCATCACTGAAACAGTCTACCGAACTCTCCAAAATAACGGGGGAAGCCCGAGCTGTGGCACTAGATATCTCCAAAGCATTTGATAGGGTTTGGCACGCCGGCCTTCTCCGCAAGATCCAGGGTTATGGCATTACGGGTCGATTATATAACGTAATACAATCATTCCTGTCAAACCGTGAATTGAAGGTCGTTCACAACGGATTCTCCTCCAGTTCCTATCCCACGAACGCAGGTGTTCCTCAAGGCTCCATCCTAGGCCCCACTCTATTCCTTATCTATATAAATGACCTTCCTGACGCCGCCGTAACTTCTCAAGTCGGCATCTACGCGGATGACACCACAATTTATTCCTGCCTCAAAAACAAATCCAGTCTCGCTGACAAAACTCACCTTGCCGTGTGTCTCGAAAAAGGACCTCCAATCGATTGTGAACTGGGGCATGGTTTGGCTGGTCAACTTCAATGCTTCGAAGACAAAACTGCTCTCTATTAATCACCACAGAGAGCCTTCCTTCCCTCCATTAGAATGTCTGACGCTCAACTTCTCGAGAGCAACTCTCTGCGGCTTCTCGGTCTCACGCTTGACTGCTGACCTGAGATGGAATAAATACATCGAGTCAATTGCCTCGTCCACTGCGAGAAAGTTGGCTCCCCTGAGCCGCAGGCTTAGGAAGTTTTTCTCCCCTGAGTCGATCCTCCAGATATACAAATCCACAATTCGCCCTTGCATGGAGTAATGCTGCCATATATGGTCTTGCGCCCCTTCTGTTTGCCTCGGGGGTTCTTGATAGGCTCCAGAAGCGGATATGCAATATGGTTGGCCCTGCCCTGGCGTCTCGTCTACAGTCACTTTCTCACAGAGGCACCGTCGCCTCCCTCTGTCTGTTCTACAAATACTTTCATGGAAATTGCTCCGAGGAACTGCATTCGCTGGTTCCCAAACTTCATGAGTTCAAAGCGCCCTACGAGGCTGGCATACCGCTCTCTCACCCCTTCACTGTCAAAACTCCTAAATGTAGCCGTCTCTTCTACTCTAATAGCTTCATGTCTCGCACCTCTCGCCTGTGGAACTCTCTTCCCTTCTCCTGTTTCCCTGAGAGTTATAATCTCCAGCTATTCAAGTGTAATGTCAATTGACATCTCCAGTTGCCTTAATCTATCTACTACCCTCATCCTTTCTTCTATCACTCCTATCTGATCTTCCTATTTTCTGTAACCCCTTGTGTCCTAGTGGCTTCCCGCCTTGCTTGGGGTGAAATGCTTAAAAAAAAAAAAAAAAAAAACATATATATTTACCAAAATTACCCCAAAATATCTTGAAATACTGAGAGTAAACTTATTCAATAAAATTGCCATTGACTTCAATCACGGCCTCCAGAAGACTTCAGAATCTTCTGCAACTCTTCTGGATGGTCTTCTTGTTTAAGTTGGTGAATGCTGCCATAATCTTTGATTTCAGTTCATTTTTAGTGTTATAAAGAGTTTTGTTAGTCTCTTGCTCAACTGTGTCCCACACATAATAATCAAGGGGGTTGAAGTTTGGGTAGCTAGATATAAGGGGGTGATGTGGTTGCAGAAATTGGGTTCTTCTGCTTGTGTGGTATGGTGCAGAGCCCTGTTGTTGGACATAGGTTTTCCAGCAGCCACCCTCTTGACCCAGGGCAGCACTACCTTGTCAAGGCACTTCCTGCGCGAATGCCAAGCAGTACAGCATGCCATTTCCAAATTTCTGGTGGATTGAATTGTGTTATGATGCTCTTTTTCTCACAGACAATGTCAATTGACACTAGTATACTGTGCAGTTGACAAAATCAAAAACAAACAATGAGTATGTATGAAATTAAAAATATAAATGCCAACAATTTACCCATCACATCCTCTATATACAATGTCTAGATTAAATGGCAAACTTAGACCTTCATGCCCCCCCAAAACGGTTTTTCCCTTGACACTGCTATTATTTTAACTACCTTCACTCCTCAGCAATGCTTATTGTTTTAATAAGTGATGATTAGAATTTTAATAAAGCTTAAACATGTCTAAGTCAATTTACACATTTTCTTTGTTCTTGAGAATTTACAAAAAAAATAATTAACAAATCTGACAAATAACATTTAATCTAATTTGTTGGCAGTGTTCTAAAGGTACTTCAACATAGAATTACTACTGCTTCCATCCAGCACACCTTAGAATTACTACTACTTCTATACAATATAGCTTAAAACATGAATACAAAAAGATATACTAACAACAAACCCCTTGAAAATGGCTAATGAATTGGCCGAAAGCAGTTGGTACAGTAACCACAATGGACAGTTTCTAGACTTAGTCTCCATAAAAGAAAAACTGTAAAAACATTATAAAAACTGAATAAAAAAAACATATAAAATGTTCCTTGACCATCACATTCAATGGAACATGTATAGATATTGCCCAAATATTGATTAGTTATTTATCTTGCAATGATACAAGAAAAACTGAATAAAAACATATTTCCTTATCCATAACATTCAGCAGAATATATATATATATATATATATATATATATATATATATATATATATATATATAAGATTGTTGACCAAAGACATATATATAAGACATTTTTTTTATGTTTATACGTTCTTTTTATAGATACAAATATTTAAGTAAATGCTTTGTTTATAATAAACAGTATTAACAACATTTACCAGCCTGAATGTCTGAGAAATCTTCATAGAAAATATGCGTCATCTGACAGGAATCAAACCTGTATTCTATATGGAACCATCATATAGCCTGATGTGCCTTAACCGATTGGCCCACAGAGGACATATATTAGTGTTATCTAAAAGTTCCTAGAGTAGGGCGCTAAATGAATCCAGTTATGTGAGAGAGCCTATGTAGCATTGCAGCACAGACCAGACATCAGGCTTGTTCTCAAGGTGCAAGTGCTTGTGGCTTAAAAATACAGTCAAGTGCTTGTGGCTTAAAAATAACCCTCCAGCCAGATTGTCACCCACTAATTAAGACCATGAGAATTTGTAGCGGTAAGCAGATTTTATTCTCTGGTTGTAATCAACTGCTATAGATGAGTGAGGCAGAGATGAAGTATAGGTAAGGAAGGGGGAAAGTGTATTATGGGCATTTCTCTTCCACATCATTCTCCATGGGTCCTCTACATCACTCTGCTTTTTTAGCATGTAGTGACCACTGTCTTAGAGAGAACATTGTTCTTTGCCTTGTCATCTTTGTCTAAAAAAGTAATTTATCTTCAATCAGTAACTTTTTTGGTTAGAGCCACTTGCCATGGTACTTGTGAAGTCCATTTCACTTAGCTGACAATCATGTTTTCTATATTTTATGGCATTTATCCTCAATTGTATCATCTTAAGTTGATACATATCAATTATGTGCCATACGTGATACACACTCAGGCAATCACATATCTTTTGATACATGACTGACGAGGCAGATTTTTTCCCCACAGTAGGTTGCCATTTCTTTCTGCAGTAGACCAGTTGCCATCCAAGGCTATAGAACTCAGTCTGTCCTGCTATTTACCTATAGCTGGAGGGAGAAAAAGAGGATTCATACCTTTCCCAAGGGTATTAGCACGTAAGTGAATGTAATGGATTTGACTGGAATTCGAACATGGCTCTCCAATTCCTCAATCCAAGCTGCTATCCATTACTCCATTGAACCCCCCTTGATACATGACCACCCTTAAAAAATATATGCTATGAAAAAAAAAAAATACCTGAAGAATATTTGCTCAAAGGCTAATAACTTTTTGCTGCATTTAATGCAAAATTTGATACAGGTATGTTGCTTAAATTTTTCAGACATTGTAAGGATTGCCAAACCATACCAACACAATGTTGCAATGAGTCTGGTAATAACTGAACATGAGTAAACTGATTCAGTCACCTGGGTAATAATGACTTAGCTGTGTGTGTATTACCATTGAATGTTACAGAGAAGCTTCCAATACCTAATATAACCTCATGGTTAGAGAGCTTGTCTCATAAGAGATTGATCCTCTTAGGGTGAACAGTGATTGGCTTTGTGCTTAAGCTAGTAAATAATTAAGGCTGTATATTTAGGTGTTTATTTATATATATATATATATATATATATTTATATATATATACAGACAATATGTCAGGTGGATTTACCTATCTGGTTGAGTGAAATAGGGCTAGGTAGCTTGTGCCTTTAGAACACTCGGCAACTGGTACCTTTGGCAACGGAGAAAATTTTTTCTGTGTTACTAAGCAGCAGGTCTGGTCCCTTCTCTGGTGGTGGTCAGCTTTTTCTGATCCAACATGGTTTTATTAACCAATGAGAGACCGCCTAACATCATGTGACCAATCTCTAGATATAGGAGCAGGCGAATTTTACAAACCCAACAAGAGTTTGTCTCACAAACCAATTCACTGATTTATTGAGTTTGAAACCACCCCCATTGAATGCTTCATGACTGTGGCCATGTGTTAGACTAAACTAAGCATAGTAGTTAATTATATTCACAAAATGCTTCTGAGGAACTTGGCGATAAATAAAGAATGTATAAGTTATTTAATGATTCATTCCAGATTGCTATTTAAATTATTCCTCTGTAGTTATTTGTGGTTTAATTCTTAAGTTTACAAAGTCTTTTAGATTATGTCCCTGTCTCAGCAATAATGCAAAAAATTCTTTGAAAGACATCTGGGTTGAAAAGAATAGAACATTAATTAGTAGGTGATTCATTTCTTTGAATTTCTATAATTTTGTTTTAATTGATTTCTTTATCAACTCCAGTTGTTTTTCCCTTTTCGATTTTTCAGACAATTGTATCTTATCCTGTTTAAAGGATGCCTCCTTCTGCACTGTCTGTTGCCGTGTACCTGAACTTTTGGATGCTCTTGTTCATAACAGTATGTATGCAACTTGTCCAAATTATTCAGATGAGACATTTTCGTTATTACAAAGCACTCAAACTAGTTGCTTTCATTTTATGTTTGTTGCTTTTTATCATAACAAGGGGATTTGGCATTTGACGTGGTGTAATGGTTAACAAGCTTGTCTTGCTCAATCAATTATAACTGAGTGAGCTTGATTCTCACTGGGTGGCCCATACTTTTGGCCTCGTGCCACATCTAATCTATGCTTAGAAAATCACTTTTGGGCACTTCAACATGGTGTAATGGTTAGCAAGCCTGGCTTGCTAAATCTATTATAACTGAGTGAGTTTGATCCTCACTGGGTGGCCCATACTTTTGGCCCTGTGCCACATCTAATCTATGCTTAGAAAATCACTTTTGGGCACTTCAACATGGTGTAATGGTTAGCAAGCTTGGCCCGCTAAATCTATTATAACTGAGTGAGTTTGATCCTCACTGAGTGGCTCATACTTTTGGCCCTGTGCCACATCTAAGCTTTGCTTAGAAAACCACCATACCAGTGAGATTCTTGTCTGAATATTGTTTGATGTGGTGCTTTATTTGTTGCATTATGTGATTTTTATTGGATTAATTTCCTTGTCTTTGTCCAGTCAAAGACAAGGAAATTAGTCTCCAAAGAAAACTACACACAACACAAGAGTTCATTTTGATATTACATCCTTTTTTGCTAAGCAGTTCATATCAGAAATAAAATAGCTTTCATCAAGTATCATCTCTACAAACTAGTGCAAATTCCATGGATTTTGACAGCTAAAACTCTCCATTAACTTATGCCTCTGATCTTTTCTCCTCATTTACCTGTATCTTCTCTTTCTCTCGCTTATCCATTCCTAAATTCATTACCCATCCAAGTTTTTATCAAAACAAGTGGAACCCATGAAAATTTCACAAAGATTGACAATGAACATTCCCCATTATCTCATGCCTCTTCACTTCACTCACCCTCTGCCTGTATCTTCCCATTCTCTCCCTTGTTCTTTCTAATCTTCACTACTTTTGTTTTTATCTATTATACAAACATGGACTATTTTCAATGCAAAAAAAAAGGAATAAGGAATGTATGAATATTTTATCTGATGTCCTTTTTTTTTTTATCTTTTCTTTATCTAACCATAAAGAATTTTAATATGTCACTATTTTTACAACTTTTCATCCCTGCCTGCATTTCAATGATTTGTTTGTTGTGACTTAAAATCCACTCAGCAAACTTATCTCACTGTCTTTCATTCATCGCTCATTTTCTTTCTCTCATAAATACTTTTTCTTTCAGCTGGTTTTCTTTTCTTTTTGGTTTTTTTTTTTGTAACTTTTTAACATCAGGCTTTCCACCATATCTTCCTCTCCTTCCTTGCTGTTCTTAATTCCTTCTTGCTTAATAGAATCATGTAGTTTTCTCAGTCAGAAAGCATAACTGATCCTAGACCCTTGAAGTCTCTTCTCCGTCCGTAAAGAGATTGTTTACCATTCACTCTCCCATTAAGTTTCTTCCCCATCTGTGAAGAGATTGCTTACCATTCACTCTACCATGAAGTCACTTCCCCGTCAGTGAAGAGATTGCTTACCATTCACTCTCCCATGAAGTCGCATCTCCGTCAATGAAGAGATTGTTTACCATTCACTTTACCATTAAATCTCTTCTCCATCAGTGAAGAGATTGCTTACCATTCACTCTCCAATTAAGTCTCTTCCCCATCCGTGAAGAGATTGCTTACCATTCACTCTCCAATTAAGTCTCTTCTCCATCCATGAAGAGATTCTTTAATATTCACTCTACCTTGAAGTCTCTTCTTCACCTGTCGCATAGGAAATTAGATGAAAAAAAAGTACTGGTGGGTTACTGATAATAACTTCTTGTTTTATTACAGATAATATTTTGCTATCAACTGTAAACAACATGGATGTAGTGGAAGCTGGATTCGATTTACAGTCATCTCCTGCAGATGCTAGTTCTGGTTCCTCTGACAATTCTGATAGTTCATCTGACAATTCCGAGACGTGTGTGCCGTGTACAGATACCATAGAAACTGATGGAAGTAGTGATGAAAATAACGAATTCATGATGCAAGAGGTAAAACCGGCTTTCTTTTTTTTTCTACTTTTCTCTTTGCTTGACAGGTCCTAAGCTGTTAAACCAATTTAGGGTGAGTTTTCCTAAATGGCTCTCAATACATTTACATAATAACTCAATCCAGTCATTAATTCCTGGTCAGTAATAATTTTTGGTAGAGTTTGTACAATAGGCTGCAACCAGAAATAATCATTTTTATCAAAATTTTTTTTCATGGCACTGTAGATTAAATACTTCAGGTAAATGGTTGACAGAACTAGGATTAGGAGATATAGCAAAAACACAAACTTTGCTAAGGGCTACAAACGACAGGAAGTTGTGGAGAGCTATGATTATCCACATTCTGAAAGGACATGTCACATTGAAGAAATCTCCAAATCACATAATAATAAAAAAAAAAAAAAAATTAAATTTTATAAAAGTTAATAGTGCAAATTAATTCTAAATTGATACCCCACCTTCCCGTGGAAGCCAAAACAAAATCTGTTAAAATGTAAAAAATAAAAAGAAATTAAAAAAAAAAAAAAATTTTTTTTAAATGTGAAGAATAATTTGAATTTCATGAGGGGAAGGGAAACATTTTTATGGCGAAAATTTCAGAATAATTTAAAAATCAAATTTAGGTATTCTAAGAGGCAATGATTAAATACACTATTTACATTATTTGGACTATTGTCCTCATCTTTGTCGCTATATTTATCACAACATTTTGGCCGTTGTACGCTTTGGCCTTCTTTAGGTGGTTGGAATGTCCAACTGAACCCTTTATTTTGCTCACTGGGGTAGACTGTTCTAGTTCCATGTGCCATGTTTAATGGATGTCAGTTATCTCCTGATAATTCCCCTCTGAAAGTTCTCCACTGCCTTAACCAGGTATTGAACTCATACTCTTTGGGTCCTGTCACTGGATCTAACTAACGCCTATATCCACTGTGCTATGTGCCTTCTGAAGTCGGGTTGCTGAATATAACATCAATCAGGTAAGTGAAACATTTCAAATTTTTAGTAATCCTATTACAGCTCTGTCACTGATATTGAACACTTTCAAGCAAAGACAGCTTGATTTTAATCTCCTTTCTTTCAGGCTTCCACTTTGAGTCCTGTCACTGGATCTAACTAAAGTTAGATCCAGTGACAGAACCCAAAGAATATGAGTTCAATACCTGGTTAAGGCAGTGGAGAACTTTCAGAGGGGAATTATCAGGAGATAACTGATATGCATTAGACATGGCACGTGGAACTAGAACAGTCTATCTCAGTGAGCGAAATAAAGGGTTCAGTTTGACATTCCAACCACCTGAAGAAGGCCGAAGCATACAATGGCCGAAATGTTGTGATAAATATGGTGACAAAGATGAGGACAATAGTCCAAATAATGTAAATAGTGTACATAATACCTCATCCCAGAAATATAGACAGGCAATGATTAAGGTAAATATAATTCCAGTTTTTGAATTATTAATTTTCACTATACCTGTTGCTACGCTATTTTGGCCCCTATTTTCTTCATATACCAGTTTTTGAAAAAGGTCCAGCCATTTTTAATATCTTTAGAATTGTGCAGTTTTGATGTAAGCAACCTGAGGGAACCTTACTGCACATGTGTAAACAGAAACTTTCTCATGAGGTTGCACATTTGGCAGGATGATGCCATTTAGTAAGTTGTTTCTTTCTTTCTCTTCCCTTCCCTCTTCCACTCTCTCTCTCCTTCCATCCCTCTCTCTCACTCTCTCCTTCCATCCCTCTCTCTCCTGCCATTCCTCCCCTCTCTCCCCTTCCCTCCCCTCTCTCCCCATTCCCTCTCTTCTCTCCCCTTTCCTCCCTCTCTCCCCTCCTCTCTGCCCTTCCTTCTCCTCTCTCCCCTTCCTTCTCCTCTCCCCCCCATCCTATCTCTTGTGGCATTGTATTTACATTTTTTTGTATTATTCTCCAGGACTTTGACATGTTGGAAGAGGTTCAGGTTAGCCCAGCATTAGACAAAGATATGGGACAAGTGAAAAATTTGTTTGGTGAGGAGGCTATTACATACAGGTAAGGGATTTTTCCTTTTCTTTTTCCTTTTAGGAGAAAAACAAAACAACAGGTGAGAGTTACCTTGAAAATCTGAAACTCGTTAATGAAAATGTAGCAGACTTATTAACCCTGAAATAAATATGGGCCAAAGCTAGTAGCTTGGCCACTTTCTTCCAAGCGCAATATTGTTTTGACTACTTTTTTGTAATGACATATATCTTGATTTCTGCATGCATCTGTGTTTATTGTAACAGCAAAAATGGCACATTGTAGCATAATTCCTGCTAATACAATACCATTAAAACTGCTCTAAGTTGAAGAATAAAGCAATTTCCACTTTAATTAGGACACTGGTTTCTGAATAATTTTTAATTAAGGATTACTTTCCCTCCAAGTTTGTCCATGAGGATGAATCTAAGTTAATTCTCTTTTTGTTAATAAGAAAATAGGAATAAGCATGAAACTTAGTGATAATTAGCATTTGTAAATAGTTATATTAATTCCATAATTTGGAAGTGACTTGACAAAGCAAGGCCAACAATAATAGACAACAAGATTTGAAGAAGATATTTCTTTAAATATTTGAAAGTCAGCATCCTTGTGTTACAAGATGTGTGGGTGGTGTAATGGATAGTGGCTTGTAATGAGGAATGAAAGAGCAGAGCTCCAATTCCAGTTGGGTTCATTACATTCATTTACCTGCAGATACTCTTGGGAAAGACATGAATCCATAGCCTCTTCCTATTCATTGTTTAAATAGTAGTACTTGTATCTAAAAAAAAACATTGTTCTTTTCAAAAAATTTTTAATGCAATATTCAGTCACATGAAAAGAAATATTCTTACAATTCAAATTATGTTTTGGCCTTAAATAACACACAAAGGGTTGATAAGACATAAAAAACAAAATGTATGAATCCATATCCTCTTCCTATTCATTGTTATTCTCAAAAAATGGTTAATGCAGTATTCAGTCAAATGAAAAGAAATATTCTTACAATTCAAATTATGTTTCAGCTTTTAATAACCCATAAAAGGTTGATAAGTCATAAAAATATTAGGACTTTTAACTTTGAAAAATCATTGTTATTCTCAAAAAAATGTTAAAAAAGAATTCTTTCAATCCCAAATATGCTTTGCCTTTAAATAACCCACAAAGACTTGATAAACCATAACAAACAAATCCCCTAATCTTTGAGCTACTGACTTGGTAAATTACTGATCTGCAGTCTTCAATACGCTTGATATTACTCTTGATTTTTTTTTGATTTTTTTTTTTTTTATACTTTCATGATGGCACCTCTGATTTCTGAAAAGAAATGAATAAATTCCATTATTATTTACTTTTTTTTTGTTTTTTCCCAATGAAACATGACCCAGTGCACATGTTAGTATTTCAAATGCCCATTCCATGAAGTCATTTCTTGCAGATTGACCACAGATTCTCGATAGGATTTAGATCAAGTGAGTTTCCAGGCCAATCGATAGTACTTTGATTTGCTCACTGGTAAGGCGTGCCAGTGTGTTCATGCAGTGTTACAATTTTCCTATGCTTCCTTGGAGTAATGTCCATCGCAGACAATGGCTGTAGGACAACTAATTGACAATCAAGACAATAGTGTCTGGGCATGATAAAAATATCATGCAATCACGGATGACGCAATATTTTTCAAGGCCAAACAAATTGCATCACACCCCACTAAAAATAGATTCATATTACTGCACACCACTGCAAATGACCTAATCTGAGGAAAAAATAGCAATCGATTACACCCTGTCACTCCAGTTGGTTTAAAATTGACCATATGATGAAAGAAAGGAAACTAAAGCAGTTGTTTCAATTAATTTGCACAAGGGTGTATTACATTTCAATTTCTGATGCCATCCTTATTAGAGTTTGTATAATAGAGTAAGGCCTTGCATTGTTCTTTCTGTAATAAATGTGGAATAAAACCATTCCATTGTGATTTCATTGAATACACAGCTAAAAAAAAATTGTCTATTGAATCAAATTTAATTTTCATCTTTTGTTAATTTTATTAATTGTTGCTTCTATAATTAATTTATTTTTGAATTATTAGTTTTATTTTTTGTTTTTTTAATAATTTTATTTTTTGTTATTTTATTTCATTTTTTATTAATTTCATTTTTTGTTAGTTTTTATTTCTTTCATTTTTTGTTAGTTTTTATTTTTTTTTTTTGTTAGTTTTTCATTTATTTCATTTTTTTGTTAGTTTTTTCATTTATTTTTTTTTTAATTTCATTTTGTATTTTTTCAATATAAATGTTTTAATTCTTATCAATCATTTTTCCAGATTATTTACTTACATTGACAACATAGATGTGGAACTGAATATCAACATGGATTTCCTTGAGGTAAGAACTTAGTGTTTGATGACATATAAGAACATCTCAACAATTCCATTAGAATATAATGTACTGTGGAATTAGGCGAGATACAAAAATAAATCATTTTCCATTTCTGGCAAAAGTCAACTGAACAATTGCTGTAAAGAAGTTTAACACTGTCCTCATTAAAAATATAGATGAACATCTCTCTACAACATTTGTTTTGGTGGATCAATATGAAGATAAACTTGAAAAAGATTATAAAATAGACACCATGTAGGAATAACAACCAAACGAGAAGGAAATTATTCTGATCAAATTTTGGAATGATAATGTCATCATCTCAAAATTATGGAAACCATCTTTGTACACCTGAAGAAGGCTGTAAAATGGATTGATTGAAATATCATAGTAAACAACACATGCAAGCAAAGAATTTGAACAAAAAAAAAAAAACTCTTGGAATGGTAATGATGCTCCTGAAATTGGCAAAATCTATTAAGTGACATAATGTAAAGGAATACATTCTTTCCAGGATTTTTGAAAACCGTAAAAGTACACACTTTCAGCTTTCCTCTTATTTTGCTTTTCATTTACAGGAAACCGTTGCTGAAGCCTGGAACATGAATCGGCGAGAACCCCTGGTGGTTCGACTTAATGTCTCTCTTAGTTCATACCTAGATAACAGGGGTATGTATCCCTCTTGCTAATAATTCTTTCCCTTTAAAGAAAACTCCAATGTATACGCTGTAGAGCAGGAGTTAGCAAAATATTCCTGCAGATTATTATTTCTGTAGTGAGTTTGGTTCTCACTAAGTGTCTCACCAACCAGTGCCAGAATACCAACATATAACCTATTTCATGACTTAATATAGCATCTATTTATCTGGTATTTGAGTCTCTAAACCTAATGTCATTTTGTCACCCATTTTATTTTGATGATTTTCTTCTTCACTCAACAGACAATTTTTCTTCTTTTATGTGCCAGGTCCTTTCAGGAAGTAGGCGATCATGGCTCTCCACCTCCTCCTGTCCCTTGTAGCTCTTAATAAGCATCTTAATTATTTCTCCCAGACCCTGTTTAGCCATCCACTTGCTCAAGTTCATTAAGTATCATGCATTGCTTTCCCATGTCCCTCTTTTCCTCTATCTGTCCTGTGTGTATTAGATTTTCCAAGCCCTTCTTCCTCATTACATGTCCCAGAAATTTCAACTGCTTCTTCCTGATGTTAAATATATGTTTCCTCTTTGTTTTTGTTCTCTCCAAAATGTTGTTGTTGCTCTCATGTTCGGTCCATGATATCCTTAGCATCCTTCTGTAGAACCAGATTTCTATTGCTTCAACTCTCTTCTTTATCTTTGATGAGATTGTCTGCCATTTGCTGGCATACAGGAGCACAGATATCATGTAACAATTCAGTACTCTTCTCTTTGTTCCAACAAAATTTTCCTGTTTCGTAATACTCTGCTTAGCTTTTGGAATGCATCTTTGTCCATCCCAATACGTCTTTGGATCTCAGTGTCACACTTTCTATCCTCTGTTAGAACACTTCCCAGATATTTACATTTCTGTACTTGCTTAATTTTAGTTTCCTCGACCTATAAATTGCATTTTAGGTTAGTCTTCTTGCTGATGACCATGCATTCTGTCTTCTTGAAGTTTATGCTAATCCCTTCTTCTTACTCTCCTTCACTACCTTCTGTAAGAGGTTTTGTAGTTTTCTTTCCATGTCTGCTGTCAGCACTGTGTCATCTGCATATCTTATGTCATTAAAATTGTGGCTGCCAATGATGAATTTGTGGTGGATTTCCAGTTCTCTCAGAATTGCTTAGTGATTGGCCATAGTTAAGTGTAATTGACAAAATTCTCAACAAGCGGGAATGACAACGCTCTCAATAAACAATAAGAAAATGAAGAAAAAGAACAGGGCAAAATAATAGTAAGCAAACAATATATATGCAAGTCAAAACTAGGCAAAGTAACCATAAGCTTATACCCATATCAAACACTTGTTCTTATAAAATCACTGAAGTTAAGCAACATCAAGCATGGTCAGTACCCAGATGGTTGACCACTTGGGAATACCAGATGGTGTAATGGATAACGGAATTGGAAATCAGAGTGCCAAGTTTCAGTTCCAGTCAGGTTCATTATATTCACTTATGTGCAAATACCCTTGGGAATGGTATTAATACAACTCTTCTCTTCCCAGCTATGGGTTAAATAGTAGAACTTGTATCAGTAAAAATCATTATCTCCCCAAAATTCCTACAATCTAAAAATATTTTCTGGCTTTAAATAACCTACAACCCCCCCTCCCCCATGAATTGAGAAATATTTGTGGGTTATCCCACTTAACCTTGCAAAGAATGTTGCTGAAGGCGCTCTTTAAGCCTATAAAAAGGCATGTGTTTCTCTCTAGTCTCTTTTACAGCTTTTTAGTTCTGGTTTTCAGATATAGTTGCACGTGGGTAAAGTGTCCCCAAATGGGGCACTTTGTTTTCATGATTTTATCTCTTGATGTTTGTACTTTCTCACACATGTGAGAAAGTACACATACACACACATTCTTATAGCTAGTTTCATGTTTTTTCCCTTTTGTCACATGTAATTTCTTTGTTAATACATGCATTGTCATTTGTTTTATATTTATTGCTTTGTGTTACTCATTTTTACCTGGACTCACATTGAGTCCGCCAATATTGTTTGTGGGATAAATTTTCCAGGAGCCCATAAATATTTACTATCCAAAGTGTTGATTCTCCACAACATAATAGTGAGTAATCAATTTGGGTATGTAATCCCAACGCAGTTATAAATTACTGACATACACACACAACACATTTTTCGTTATCCATCTGATAGAGCCATATAGGCGAAATGCATTATTAGATGGTATTTTTGAAACATGCTTTTATCAATATTTTTCTAAATGTCAATAACTTATAACTTTGTCGGGATTACATACCCAAATTTATTAGATACTGTAGACATGGAGAACGCATGGATAAAACAATTCTTTCATCTATTTTCTATCCATTCTGAAGGATTTCCATCTCAAAACTCTGACACTTGTGGAGAATATAAAATATAAAATGTTTTTTTAAAAGCCACTCATTTTCTTTCTCTTTTTTAGTCTGAAACAATGCCAGCTTGGTAAAAATAATATAAGATTTAATTATTTTAAACACACACACAAAACACATTTTTTGTTATCCATCTGATGAAGCCATATAGGCGAAATGCATTATTGGATATTATTTTCAAAACATGCTTTCATGAACGTTTTTTCAAATGTGAATAAACATAATGGTGACTAAATACAGTGTAACCCGGATATAAGAGAGTTGTCGGGACCCAAGAAGAAGTCTCTTATATCCGGGTTACACTGTATTTACCCAAACATACCAACAATCCTGTCACATAGTAATGAGGCAAAATGTTTACAAAATAAGAATTGTGTTCAGTATCTGTCTATATTATGTCTAGATGAGGTATTATGTACACTATTTACACTATTGTCCTCATCTTTGTTGTCATATTTATTACAACATTTCAGCCGTTGTACACTCTGGCCTTCTTCAGGTTGTTGGAATGTCAAAGAATTGTGTTCACATGCAAAGGGATGCAGTCAAAACAAGAAAGAACAAAAATATGGGGGATGCGACTGAGAACTGTCCATTTTTTATTGGTTAGGAAGAAATCCCAGCATGCATCTGTAGGATTTGTCTATAAATTTGGGGAGGTGATGTTCTTAGAAAATCACTGAAATTGAAACCAGCACAATCAATTCACTACAAACCACTGAGCCTTGATTCACATGTACTTAGTCCTGGAACCTAATGTAAGAAGTATTAGTTTTTGTTAAGTTCTTTTATTGTACTTTTTAAATTGAATAAACCTTGACTGATGCCAAAGCAGGAAGTAGAAACAAAGAATTAACTTTCAACCCAATCTGAATTAACATCCCACATCTGTGGAGCCTATCTTATAGTGTAGAGTGAATGGCCATGGTTAAATGTAAATAAATTTCAGAACTGTCCAATAAACAGAATTGACAAAGTTTGCAATAACAAGAAAAAGAAAACAGGGCAAAAAATAATACAAAGCAAAGAAAACAATATACGCAAGGCAAATTAACAGTAATAAGGCAAAGCAACAATAATATAGCAAAAAGTTCACAAAGTATGAATTGGAGTTGACACACAAGAGCAAATTCAGTTAAGCAAACATAGTGTTCTGACTTCAAGACAGACTAGGACAGAGTTATATAAAACCGAGAACTGGCCTGTTTTTTTGGTGAGAAAGAAATCCCAGCATGCATTTGTGTGCTTTTGCCTATAAATTGGGGAGGGGAAAGTGTTTTGCATTCATTCCCACTATAGATTGGAACCAACATATGTACAAGACCTTATTTAGCCCTAGTAGATCTATTTTGGGGACAGTGGGTTACTATATTAGCAGTTACTTTGTTAATATAATAAGTATGAATAAATTTATTACCAATGACTAAGATTGTCACATGTTAATTGTCTAAGATTTTCTAAATTTTTCTTGCAGAGGTACCGAAAGTTGAGGTCTTTCAGCCGTCCAAAAAAGACCAACCCTGGGGAATTGGTTGCCAAATCAAAAAGTAAGATTTTTTTTTCTTGACCATTTTTGAAAGAATTAAAAACAAAATATTTACAAATTATATCAATAGTCCAAAATGAGAATCTGACTAGACATTTATTGTTTGAGAATGATCAGGACTTTATATACAGGATGCTAATAAAGTCAATATACAATTACTTACAGTAATTACACATATATATTATACATATATATTACATATACAGGGTGCCAATAAAGTCACTATAAAATTACTTACAATAATAATTAAATAAAGCAATTAATCAACAGTCCAGAAATTTATTAGTAAAATAGTTCTGGTTAATAGCAATAAAATGATATGTTAAACAATAGTAAATTAATTACCAATACTGTTTGAACTGCAAACCACCTCTTTCAATGCAATGCTTTGTTTTTTTTTATATGTAACAGTATAGTGACTTTATTGCCTATATATATATATATATATATATATATATATAAATATAAATAAAAAGAAAGAACAGTAAGATATATAATCCGGTGTTCTTATTGATATTTTTATTTTTACAAAACAGTGCTCAATGTAAATTTACAGAGAATAAATATTATAAATTAACTAGTTTAAAATAGCGTTTTTTCGCTACACAGTAATAATCATATTTCCAAAATGGAAGCTAAAAACTTCAAATTTAATTTTGTAATTAAATTAAAAACATTAGTTCCATTTCATCTTCAAGTGAATATTGGAGTAACTTATTTTTTAAATTTACTGAGTTTTAAATGCACACAAAGATTCATAATCCACTGTTTCCAAGGATACAGAGAAATCCAATCATTCAAACAAGGGGTGGTATCATGTTCATTTTTATTAACTTTTGTTGTATCAGTTATTAGTTACGTTCAAAAAAGGGGTTAAGTTTAGGGAGGGTAAAGATATATTTTTCAACGAATTCTGATATCTGTTAAATGCATGTTATTTCCCCAAGTACTTTCCATCTTTTATTTCCCCAAGTAATTTCCATCTCTTTCTGAGATCACCATCAGAGGTGCAACTAGTAAAGCAAAAACTATTTGCAGCTATCCATTACTGAATTTTTTTCTTTTTGCGTTTAAATGCAACAGCTGACAGTTTTGCTTTAGTGTTCATTAGAAGGTGAAAAAATTATCCACTATGGAAATTTTTTATGTCAGAATGTCATGGTCAAGTGCACATTAAAGCAAATACTGCATTAAATCAACCCTATAACTTATACAAATATTAAAAAATATTAAAAACTGAAAAACCTAATAATGAAACCCTAACATCACTTGATGTTGAAAATCTGTTCACTAACGTTCCAGTTAGAGAAACCATTGACATTATTATAAAAAATATATATAATAATTCATCTCCGCCCCCATTAAAAATTAAACCTAAAATACTAAGAAAATTACTTTTAACTTGTACTTACTAATTTACTTACTGATTATCTTAGAAAGAGATGGAAAGTACTTGGGGGGAAATAAAAGTGATTTTCACTGTTACAGTGCATGTTTTGCATCATTTGATTGTAACTCATGGGAAAATATTCATGAATATGAACGGATTATGCTAAAAACAAGCAGACATAATGTTTGTAATTTATTTAATCAGACATATATATATATATATATATATATGTGAAAATTTCTCAGAGTTAACCTGTAGAAAAGACAATATTTATAAATATAAATGACAATAGGAAAACTGTAGTAGTTGCCAAAGCGTTTCGTCCAATGTAGACTTTTTTTAAGCAAAAAAGGAAATGAATTTAATTAAAGAAAGTCATTAATAATAACAAAAAACAGAATGTTTTTAGCAACTGGAAGAATGTAGAGAACGCCATTTTCATATTGTTAACTGAAAATAACGTCAGTTACTGTCACGTGTGGAGAATATTTTCTGTGAAAATTTCTCGGACATTCAGGCTGGTAAATGTTGTTTAATACTCTTTATTATAAACAGAGCATTTACTTAAATATTTGTATCTATAAAAAGAATGTATAACATAAAAATGTCTTAAAATATATATATATATATATATATATATATATATATATATATCTCCAAATGAGAGAAAGAACAGATGGAGTAAAATTATACTGTTCATACTATTTACTTTTTAAAAAAAGTAGTCAATACAAAGTAGAGTATTATATTATTATTATATTTTTATTATAAAGAGAAATAATAAAAACATTTTGAAATTGCAACACAAAAGCTTTTATATTTCTAATACTATGATTGCATTTCTTTAGGCGATGGTAAGTAACTGGTGATTAAATTATTTTTAAGGAAATTTAAAAACAATGTTACTTCTTTTCCAAAAGTTAAAGGTAGGGGAGAGGCATAAGGTCAGAATTAAAAATAGACTTGTGGGTATGTCTTGATTAACCAGTTAAATGTCAGATCTGCACCAGATAGAAAAGTAAGTTTAGAAGCTGGGGGTGGATGATGTCCATTTTAGTCACTGTTGTGTTTTAAAGTCCTCTAATAATGCAGCTTCTGTTATATTGTTCTTTGCTTGTGATTCTGTAGCACCAGTCCATGAGGTTTGAAAGAGAATTGGTTTACAGTCAGATCACACTGAAGACACTGGTTCTTATTTGATTACCAAAGTTAAGCAGTGTTTAACATGGTTAGTACTTAAATGGGGGATTGATTGGGAATATTGGCTGCTGTAAGCAACCTCCTACAATCCAAAATAAGTTTTGATTTTAACTAACAAAGGGTTGATAAGACATAAAAAACAAATCAATGAAAATTAATTGAAGGAGGATAGTCCCCCCTAAGACCTACAGGCTTCATTTTCTCAAAGCCATTTTTAATTATTGATCTGAGAAAGCAGTTGTACACAGTTGACAGTTTTGTCTTTTTGAATGGGTTTGGCACCATGTATGACATCCATTTGAAAGTCTCAATCTCATGAGGATATTTAAGAACCTGACTTGAGTTCTTAGTTTAATGTTTTGGTTTTGTAGCATCTTACAGTATTGTGTGAAACTATCTCTAGCACAGCCCATTCTATGTTCAACTTCCTTATCGCCTATACTAAATATGTTATAACTGATCCATACACCAAGGTATTTAAGTGTTTAGTATTTATTAATTACAAATTCCGAAATTGCTGTTAATTGGTCTTTACCAACACTGTGACCAAAACACAATGTGGGCGGCGTGAGGTAGACTGAAGTGGACAGTGACCAACAACCATTGATCTGCGACAGTATCAAACTGTGTGGGATTTACCCAGCAATCAACTTGTTGTCCTAAAACCCTGAGGATCAAGACATACTCTGCTATAGGCGGCATGTGGCAAAGGTCAAACCCAGAAACGAGCATTGGGTGCAGTGGTCATAGTATAATGGATAAGGTCTTGGAATTGTTAATTGGTGAGCTGAGTTCCAGTTCAGTTATATTCACTTACATGCAAATATCCTTTGGGAAAGATATGAATTCATCTCTTCTCTCCCAGATATGGATTAATTAATAAGACTTGTATCACTAAACCATTATTATCTCCAAAAACAAAGAGATTCTTACAATCTAAAAATATTTTCTGGCTTTAATAACCTGATAAGCCATAGAAAATGAATTGATAAATCAAGAAGAAATTTATAATTTAATTTTTATCAAACTTAAATCCTGTGATAAGTCTGTTATTACTTTTATTTTCTTAATTCTAATTTCTTTCAGAATTGTAGAAACCTTTATTGCTAATCAGTGGCGCCATGTAACCAACAAGGATGTGCTTCAGGCACGGACTGTTGCACCTAAATCTCAAAGTATGCCATCTCATATATCGGAGCGTTGCAGCCAAACAGCTTCGCCGACTCAAATGAAGCAGTAAGTTGAGAGTGAACTTTGTTTAATTCTGTAACTTATTTAAAACTTGTCTCTTCCATGTTTTTTTTTCATTTTCAGTTATTTATTTTCTAATTTTCCTAATATTTCTGATTATTAGAGCAACAACAGCAGACATATTAAAAAGGTCATTTATAACAAAAAGAGGTGTAATAAAAAATATATATTAGTACTGTAAATTGTGTACAGTATATATATATATATATTCAAACTATGGTATTCATTTCTGTTGTCATCAAAACATTTTGATGTTGTGTCTTCTGGCCTTCCTCAGGTGTATATCGATCTTGGTAACCTAAAGAGAATTCTGAACTGAACAGTTTATTTAATCTACAGCGGTAGACTATTCTCGTTCCACTCCCCATGTCTTGGAATATCTTGTCTAGTTCTTATTTTTAGTACGGCGCAGTAATTGCTCGCCTGTTTTCACTGAGTCTGAATACACACTGTCTAACCCAAAGATTGAACTCACAATCACTATGTCCCCACATTCATGAACGTATTCTTTCTTTCACTAGGCCATTGTCTTGTAGGAGATTGTTCTGTCGTGTAAATAATGATAACTCCTTATCCCATAAATTACTGTAAATTGGTAATAATATTTCAGTATTTTACATTAATATATTTCTTTTTATTTCTCTTTTTTTTTCACATATTCAGAGCAGATCTACTGTGGCCAAATGTTAATGCTTTTAAAGATTGGCATTACTTAAAGAGGAAAGATGGAGGTGAAATAGATTTAGATTTTTTATGATTAGAATAGAACTTCTATTTTTCTGACACAGTGGCGTTGGAAGATCAGTCAGATAAGAAAGAAATATATGCTTAGTGTTATATTCTGTGCTAAGGGAATAAATAGTAGAAAGTTTATTGTACACAACCAGTACAGTATGAAATACGGTACAGTTATACACACAGGTCAATCTAGTAGTGAGTGCCACTAATTGGAACATCGGACGTGCTTGCGTCCTGCAGTCTCTCATAGACAGTTGACTTTATAGGTACTTACTACCTATAGTGTAATCATTCATGGGGGTGACTGGTTATTCCATTACATCACCTAGCAAGTTAAATTTACACCCAGCACAAAGAACAAACTTCAAGACATTTATTTTCACTCTCTCTCACTCTAATCACCAAAATGTCCAATGAGATTGTAAATATGATAAATGCAACTATCTGTTAACAAATTTAGTTTTTGTGTTGTTGTCACAACACTACTTTTTCTGATATATTCTCTCGCCTTCTTTAAGGGTACAATACAAAAGGAAAGATCTTATTATAGGTACAAAATTTAATTAATACAATAAGAATGGGAAAAAAAGAGGTTATGCCTTAGAAAATATTTCTGTATTTTTATTTTTTTTTTTTTTTATTTACAATTGAAATAAATTCATGTTTGTATAACATTTTAGATAAAAAGATTAATGAACAATCAAGATTGGAAAATGGTCAATAAGAAGATGCAGGCAAAGAAGCCAAGAAGGAAATGATAATGGATAATTTTAGTTACTAGAATTTTTTTGCAACACACTGATGTGTACATTATTCGGACTATTGTCCTCATTTTTGTCACCATATTTATTACAACGTTTCGGCCGTTGTATACTCCGGCCATCTTCAGGTGGTTGGTTTAAGTTCGACATTCCAATCACCTGAAGATGGCTGGAGCATACTACGGCCAAAACGTTGTAATAAATATGGCGACAAAGATGAGGGCAATAGTCTGAATAATGTAAATAGTGTACATAATACCTCATCTCGGAAATATAGACAGACACTGATGTGTATTAAAATCCTCACAGTATTTAGTATTGTTGAAGTTATCACTTCCTCTGCTCACTTGAAACTCTCTCTACCATGTTTATATTTACAGTACTACAACTGTGCATTATATTTTACCAGATATATCAAACAACACGATCCAAAATTACCTCATATGGTGGGGGGATAGATCTATTTCAACCGATGAGAAGTATATCAAGTCTTATTCAACCCTGGTGTATAGACTGTGTTTGTGTTGAAATTAGAAATTTAACTTTGAAAGTTAAATTTCTAATTCTGGCATGAACACAGTCTATACACCAGGGTTGAATAAGACTTGATATACTTCTCATCGGTTGAAATAGATCTACCCCTGAGCCATATGAAGTAATTTTGGATTTTGTTGTTTAATTTATAGGCTCTGTTATAATAAATACATTGCGCTCTTTTTCTGGATCACTTTTAATTACTGAGATCCAGTTGGATTATATACCAAATGCTTTATTACCTGTACTATATATATATATATAACAGATATGCCAAAAACAATATTGCATTTTCTTTTAAATAAGTATTTGTTATTTTAATGATTAAATTGATTTTGAAACAGTGGGTGTATTTTGTATGTTAAATAATAAAACTTAATGTTTTCAAAAAAATTAATGAACGCTTATTGTACTAAGCTATGCACTCTACTAAAACCAATTGTACTTCGCACCTCCTTACCTGTTTGCACTTCTCCCCAAAATTTGCTTTCAATCGGTTAATGTATGGCTATTTTAGAGAGTGTGTCGGATAGACGTAATTTTATATATAGCTCAACATCCATGAAATTTCCGAGGGTCCATTTAATATATCATTCAAAATAATTTTTTTTTTAACCATTTTACTCCAAGCAAGGCAATAAAGCCATTAAAATGCAAGGGATTATTGAGTGTGAGAGAATATGGGGAAAAAAATTTTAGGAAGGGGAGGGAACTCTAAAGAACAGGAATTAAGAAGACAAAAGATAACGATCGACAAAGTTGACAGAGACGTAGGAAACCAGAAGATATTTTCACAAGCGAAATGTGCAAGAGATTTGGTTTGTTTTGTTTTATGGCATATCAACCTCAATGAGTTATTTAATACCAACAAGATTTTTATTGCTGGTAATAATTTTTTTTTTTTTTTTTTTTTTTCAAAAATATATTGCTGATAACAATGTATTACAAAGTATTTCTGGTATTAAAATCTATTTTTACACTTTCATAGTGTTTTGACCCCAGTTTGGGGGTTAACTATTTACCCATAGCTAGGACCCTAACAGGTGCTACCACCCCTGGTCAGGGTGGACCTAGGAACACCAACAATTAAGAGGTTGTTCCACACTCCTCAAAATCTCCTAATCAGAGGCTTTGCTGTTGGATGTAAATTGTCATACCCAGGATGGTATTTATTTATTATTTTATTGGAAAGACTTCTTGGTCAGGCTGAGAGATTTTTAACACACACACACACACACATATATATAATTGCACAATATCTTAAATCTAGAATGATATGTTAATTGGGTCCTTGGAAATTCCATGGGTGTTGATTTATGATACCTCACTCTTATGAGTGTGTCTTAAACAAAAATAAATAATCACTGATGTTTGATTTCTGAATTGGGTTAAGAAGAAAAGTCCTTTTCTTTTTGTAGAAGTTCCAGAATACAATACATTTTTTAGCAATGGCAAATAGTACCTTGAACTTATGTTTGCTGTATTGTCTCAAAAGATTAAAATCTGCCACATGTGTTTGTGTGACCTTGTCTTCCTTTTAAGCCTTGTGTTATGCTTACAGTGACAACTCCGAAGCCAGCACTGAACTTGATTTATAAAAGAATATTGCCACTATTTCTTTCTTGCCATTCAATACTTGCTGAAGTGTTTTAATTGTAAAATATATTCTAAATATCTGTTTGTTTTTGTAGGTTTTCCCATCATGCAGATGAGAGTTGTATGAATCAGCCTGACAGTCACTTACCCCTTCTGTCTGAAAGAAATGGTAATGACACTAATAGCCACGAAGACAACAATAATGAAATGTCTCCAGGAGGTGCCTCAGCAGCGAGCAGTCCAAGTATTTCTGCTTTCTCACCAATCAAGGCAGGCAAATTAAGTTTAGGGCGTATCTTCCGCTTAGCAACTTCAGCCACAGCACCTAATCTTAGCAACCCCCATAATGGAAATCTCAGCCTTGTACCCTCATCAACAGCAGATGGAGAACGATCAAAAAGAATCCCCTGCTTAGAATATGGTTTCCTCTCTCAGGTATCAAATATTTTGGCCATCCTCTTTAATATTTTGATAAGCATAATTTGAAAAAGTCATTTCCTAATGAATCCTGTAATCCATTAAAGTTGTAGGGGCAAGTACTGCAGATATAGCAGCAGTGGTGTGTCTAGGACAAGGTATCCTGAGAGAGCCTGTCTCTCTTCAAACTGGTTTGGAATTCAGTTTTCCTTCTCCTAGACTTGTTGCCATTTGAAGGCAAGAGAGTCCAGTCTAGCCTTGTACCCTCAGCAACAGCAGATGGAGTAAGGTCAAAAAGAATCCCCTGCTTATAATATTTCCTCTCTCCACTATCAAATGCTTTGGCTATCCTCTTAAATGTTTTGATAAACATAATTTTAAAAAGTCATTGTGTAACAAGTCCTCTAATCCATTAAGGTTGTATAGCATCAGTGGTGTGATTAGAACAAGATAGCCTGACGGAGCCCATCCCTCTTTGGGCTGGTTTGGAATTCACTTTTTCCTCTTCTACACCAGTAGCCACCTCAAGGCTAGAGAGCTCAACCTAGACTGTTATTTAACCCATAGCTGGGAGGAGAAGCAATGTATTCATACCTTTCCCAAGGGTATTTGTGCAAAAGGGAATGCAACAAATTCTGCTGGAATTTGAAGTCCTTCCCAGTTACTAAATCTGAATTTACATACACTTCCTTTTAAAAAAAAATATTATTCCATCTTAACTTAAAAGTTGCACTGCATAAGATCATTTCTTTCTTGCTATCAAGGTCACTTAACATTAATATTGTGAGAGGAACTAGAAGGAACTATTGTGAGTGGAATAATGGATAATAGCTTAGAATTGTTAATCAAAGAGCTGAATTCCAATTCCAGTCAGTTTCATTATATTCACTTACATGCAAATACCCTTGGGAAAAGTATAAATCCATCTCTTCTCCCCCCAAATATGGGTTAATTAGTAGGACTTGTATCAGTAAATCATTATTATCTCTAAAAAATTCTTACAATCTAAAACTATTTTAATAATTTATTTTTAAAGAAACAGCAATGGGTTGATAGGCTATAAAAAACAATTCAATCAAATCTGAATTCTAAAACATGAAAGCAACAGGAAACCACTCCATTATCTTCATGGCAATTCACAGATAATAAAGAAAAGGAAGTGTGGAGGACCATGATTGCCTAAATCCTTTTTAATGGATGTACAGCTGTAGTTTCTTGACATACCAAAATTTGTCTTAACCATATTCTCTGTTTCAATTTTTCAAGCTATTTCTTAAATAATTTTAAAAGAAAGAAATTAATTTTTTACTAGTATTTATATTACTTTGATCATAATTTTTAGTTACTTTTTATTGTAACTTTATTCAGGACATCCTGAAAATAAATTCTGTGAGGTTTAAACTTATATCCTTTCTGCCCACTCTCAGAAAATCCTAGTGAATACCCAACTATTTTAACCACTAAGCTATGAGAATTTGTTTGGTAAGCTAAAGAGGGATGTATGCATCACGTAAGAGTTACTGGCATGGAAACTAAAATTAGCAAGCCAAGTTCAAATTTGTGACAAGCTGTGTTCACTTCTCATTAAATATCTTTGAAAAAGACATGAATTTATATCTTCTGTCTATCCCAGCTATTGATAGGGTACACTCAGTTCTTTAGCCTTGATAGAGCAGCTAGTCTTAAGGATAACTCTGAATTCAAAATTTAGTGGCAGCAATGTAAAACCACTTCACTATTTTTTCCCAAAACAGTCATGGCTGCTTAGTTATTAAAATAAATTGGAAGCTGTGGAGAGCAATGATCACCTGCATCTTGGCATTAAAAATGTTAAATGAATATTATGACTCAATATCATTGATATTTCTTTATTTCCTTCTTTTACATTCCAGGTTTATCTGTATATTCGACAACGCATTCCAACATTAAACGAATATTGTGTCGTGTGTGATCAAGATCATGTTTTTCAGAATGGATCAATGCTTCAGGTAAGTTCTTTTGGGGTCATAATAATATAAAAAAATTTTTTTTTTAATTATTTCACCCAAAAAAGGCAATAAAGCCACTAAGATGCAGGGAGTTACTGAGTGTGAAAGAATATAAGATAAAGAAAAAATTAAGGTACAAGAACAATAAAAGAACAGAAATTAAGAAACAGAAGATGATGATTGGCATTGCATTTAAATTTTTGATGATCAGACTCGACTGGGAAGCAAGAAGCTGGATGAGAGTTCCACGAGTGAGAAGAGCAAGAAAAAAAGCAGTTAGCATATCATTTCTGGTTATATCTAGCCATTTCAGCTGTCAAATGATGAGACCTAGCTGACAATCTAGTACTGTGCTTAAATCTGCCTTAAATTTATAGGTACAATGGAGGAAAGTTCATCAGAATAATTACCAAGTATTTATAGAAAAGGCACAGGGAAGTTACATTATGGCACTGGGAAAGTGATGGAAGCTGATATATCAGGTTAAGACCAATAACATTGCAGATTCTTCTTTGGTTTTTATCAAGGATCTCTGAATATGTAGCAGGTGCATCAGACCAAATATAGCAGTAATATTCAAAATCAAGGACAAATGGTAGATTTATAAATATGTAAGAAAGATTCTGGCGAGAAAAATTGTCTAGCACAACACAGCAAACCAACTTTCCTAGTGACATACCTATCAACTGATTCAATATAATCTTTCGAGGTCATGTCAGGTGAAAACATTAGCCTGAAAAGGTGCAACAAGTCACTCTCCTGGAGGTTAGCACCAGCCATACTGATGAAAGGCACGAAGGGTTCTCTGGAATATTGAGGAAACCTTGTGCATAGATTGCTAGTAAAAAGAAGTTTTTTTGGTTGACTATGAGTTTGTAATTGTTATACTTACCTTGGGAGAGGCTTATGGCCACATCACATTGAAGCACTAGTTTCCATACAATCACCAAAGTTAAGCAACTTCTAGATGGGTGACTACTTGGGAATACTAAGCACTATAAGCTTGGATATGCAGGTGGTGTAATATCTCAGAGAGCTCAGTTCCAATTCCCATTGGGTTTGTTATATTCACTTAGGAAAGGTATGAATCTACCTCTCCTCACCCCATGCAAACCACCAATCTGCCACTGGGTGGTATGCCACTAGTGTTTACCACTGGTGGCCTGCTGTCGGGCTACCGGTATGTTTGTCTCAGCAATGTTAATACTGGTGGATTGCTAGCAGTCCACTAGTGGCTGCCACCAGAGGACCACTAGCATTGCCATCAGCGGACAGCCAGCAGGCCACTAGGGGATTGCATGTAGGGCAGCTATGGGTTAATTATTAAGAAATGTATAACTAAATCATTATTATCTCCCAAAACAAGTAATTCGTAAAATTTAAAAATATTTTCTGGCTTTAAATAATCTGCAAAGAGTTGATAAACCGTAGAAAACATGTCCATCAATTACCTTGGGAAAGGCATGAACTCAATCTTTCTGATCTTTATCCCTTTGCTATCTGTTTAGATACCTTGTTCTTTTACTGGTCTACCATAATGAAGGGAATGGAATATGGAGGATGATGCTGTGCAAGATGTCTTTTTTTTTTCTATTTTATTAGGAAAACTTCATTGATATTTTTGTACAAATTCAAAAATAGTCTTAAAAATGAAAAACAGTCTTCACAATGATATTCGTATTGTTGGTTGGTTGGTTGTTCATTTAGCAGCATATCAACCTCTATCGGTTATTTAATACTGAAATCTAAATATTTTGTATGCAATTTTATTTTATAATAACAGTAAGCCAAATCCCAGCATGCATCTGTAGGATTTCTAAATTTGTGGAGGGAAACGGTTTTAGTAGCCATTCCCAGGGCAATTGGAACCAACATTAAACTAGTAAATTCATCCAGCAAACTAGTACTCATTGGATACCTCACACTTATGGCTTTGTCATACTAAGCTGCAATTGTAAATGGCAAGATGTCTCGCCATAGAGTAATGATCAACATGTTACCCAAGCTAACCATTATGATTGTAGTGAATTTGATCCTCACTGAGTTCTCCTCATTTGTTGCTTTGTGTAAGTATAAACTTATCTAAAACATTCATGATAAAAAATATTAATTAACATTTTCACTAATTTACCCGTCAATCCGCTACTGATAATTACATAACATCCCCCTTTTTGGAAGCTTGCACCTTGTCTACATTTTGTCCTTCACACACTACTGTAACTAATTCCTGCTTTCCACTGATGCTATTTAATCACTAGAGAATCTTATTAGATGTTCTTAGCTTACATATGTCGGTAAAATAAATTTTGTTGCTGAAGTTATGTGTGTGATTGTGTCTTGTCTTTCCAGTCAGATTTTATGATGAGAATCAAGGTTTTCACAATAAAATTGTTATTAACTAATCCTTGTTGTTAAAATTTTCTGGATAGACTTATATGATAAATATACCAAGTGAAATTCAGTTTATAACTTATATGACTTTGTGTGGGAATGTGGATACTGATTGCCATGTATGTGATCTCGATAGTGGTGGCTTGCATAGTCTTGATAATTAAAAGATTTAATTTTTTGTGTGTCCTTAATAATTTTAATAAAAACATAAATTTGTCTCATGATATAAAGGATTCATTTTTGGGGTTTATGGCCATATCACATTGAAACCCCAGTTCTCATATGATCACCAAAGTTAAGCAATGTCAACCCTGATCAGTACACTGCTTAGGAATACTATGTGCTGTAAACTTGGATGTGCAGGTGGTGCAATGGATAACAGCTCAGAATTGGAAATTGGGGAGCCGAGTTCCAATTCAAGTCATGTTCATCATATTCACTTGTGTGCAAGTACCCTTTGGAAAGGTATGAGTGCACTTCTTCACCCCCCAACTATGGGTTAATTATTAGGATTTGTATCAGTAAATCATTATTATCTTAAAAAAAAATCAAATCAATCAACTAAAAACTTTGACTGAAATGGAATCTCTTTGATTTCTGCACACAATCACTAATGACCCAACACCTGTTTAGTATTTTAAAGCTTTTGGTTTATTATAAAGACGTGAATATGAGCTTTCATTGTTGGTACCTCAACTTTGTAAAAATTTAAGCGTAATACATGATTGGCAGTTAGGTCTCATCATTTGACTGTTGAAATTGCTAAATTTAATCATTAATTCTATTCTTATAGTTTCTTTTCTCAGCTGTGGAACTATTTTCCAGCTTTTCGCTTTCCTACCAATTACAATCTTCAAAGATTTAAATGGAACATCAATTGTCATATGTGCCCTATAAACTGTCCTTTTATTGACTGTATATGTCCTATGAACTGTCTTTTGACTGTGTGCACCATATGAACTGTCCTTTATTGTCTATATGCACTATGAATTGTCTCTTTATTTCTTTGTATGTTCCCCAATGTGATGCCTATGAACTGTCTTTTCACTGTGCCCTATGAACTGTCCCTTTATTGTCTATGTGCACTATGAACTGGCTATGTGCCCTTATTGTCTGTATGTGCCCTATGAGCTTTCCATTCAGCGTCTGCCCTCTGAAATGTCTTTTGACTATAAATGCCCCACGAACTTTCTCTTTATTGTCTATACTCTATTTATCTTCTTTTCCATACAGCCAGCTGTTTGTTCTCGAGAACTATGTTCGTTTGCCTTCCAAGATCTTGGAGTGATGAGTACAGCAACCACAGCGATGGCAACTGGGGCTGTCAGGTCTCTGCTGGCTGAAATTGAGGTCCTGGTGAGCGGCAGTACACATTGCTTATTTCACAAATTTCTGAAAATATCTATTAATTGCTTTCTGGTTGTAAATTCAATGTCAAAAATATTACAGCACAACTCTTCCTTGACGATGGAGATGTGTTGTTAGAAAATCACAGCCATATTTAAGTAATTTGCAATCATTATATTTTTTGCAAATCGTTATATTTTATGCCTGAGTAATCCAGAATTTATATCTATACAAGGCAATAAAATGCCACTAAGTTGCAAGAGGGTACTCATGTGAGAGAATACTGACAAAAAAAAATCGTTATCAATAAATTAAAACAATAAAAGAACAGGAATTAAAAAAAAGATAGAAGATGGCAATTGACATTGCATTTAAATTTTTATTCTCCGTGAAGATCAAAGTTGATGGGAAAGCAAGAAGCTGGAAGAGATTTCCAAAGAATTGTCTGAGAGGTAAAGAAGAAAACTATTAGCATAGAACTTACAGTTACATCTAGTGGCCATTTCAATTGTAAAATGCTGAGCCCTTGCTACTATTCTATTACTATGCTTAAATTCATAAAGTAATGAGGAAAGCTCATTGGAACAATTATTGGTGGGAAAGTGATTGAATCAGAGATGCTATGTCAAGACCAATAATAATTAACTCAGGTTAAAAATAAATTCTTTAGAAATTGCTTTGTTTATATTCTTTTGAATGTAAAACTGAGCAGATATATGCTCTTGAGAAAAATATCTGGGTAAAGAAATGTGCTTTCTTTAATTGCTAGGTCTGTTGCTAGAAAAGTTAGTTCCCCTTGTTGTACTGGACAATATATCTCACTAGAATCTAGCTTATAGATTTATAAGTCTACCATTCGTCCATGCATTGAATATCACTGCCACATCTGCTGCTTTATCTGCTTGATCAATATTTATTGAGGATGTTTGGCTAGTGTAACAATTTTGGCTCAGAAAATGAAAATGTTGACTTTGAATTCCATCTGTCCTGGGTAAGATGATAAACTACATCCAGCAGCAAGGTCTCTGATCAGGAGGTTTTTGAGGAGTGGAACTACCTCTTAATTGCTGGTGTTCCCAGGTCCACCCTGACACGGGGTGGTAGCATCTGTTAGGGTCCCAGCTATGGGCAAATAGTTACCCCCCAAATGCCAGGAATAAATTTTTTTGAGACAAAATTATTACCAGCAATAAAAATCTTGTTTACATTAAATAACCCATTGAGGTGTTGATATGTCGTAAAACAAAACAAATCAAGCCAATCAAATTCCACCCTGGTATGTTGAATTTACTTTTGCTCAAATGCTATTAGGAAAGGCATGAATTTGTCTCTTCTACTTCAGGGAAGGTCAAGATTAAATTGCAGGGTTGACTGGGCTCTCTAACCTTGTGAGTCTAAGTAAAAGAAAACTCTGAATTTCAAAATAGCAAACCACTCCACTATATTTCCCAAGAAGGCATGGCAATACCTAAATAATAAAGAAATAGAAAATTAGGGTTCTCCACAAATCCCAAGTCCAGAAGAAATATTCTGTAAAAAAAAAAAAACAAATAAAAAAAAACTATTAGATTGTTCTTAAACAACTCTTTCTCATAAGGACAGAATGGCTCATTTTATAATTAAGAAATAAGTTTAATCAAGAAGCAAGGATTTTTTTTTTATAAATGTAAACTGATGTTTAAGATTGAAGCCACCCAAAAGTATTAGCATTCCCCTCTACTCATTTTGTTAAATGCTACTAACGTATTTTTGCTTAAATTGCAAATTTTATCTCTCTTCTTGTTTTAAAGAAAGTTTTTAATGATTTCATAATATAACAATTAAAAAAAAAATATTTCTTCTGCTGTTTAAGGTGGTTGACTTACTAATTTCCATGACAAGGACTGCCTGTAAATCCAAACGTCGTGAGATCATTTTTAATCCGTATCCAACTGTCATTGATCCAGACAAACCAACAGAATTTTATCTTCATCCAAAGGTTGGTTCTTATTAACAAATCACCTTTTTCTTCTTTTTTTTTCTCAAATAAAAAGTAACCGCAACCTTTAACCTTTGTTCCCCCAAAAAACAGTGTGTCAAAAGGACAGTTTTTCCCTGGACACCACTATTATTGTAACTACATTTACTCCTCGGCAATGTTTAATATTTTAAAAAGTGATGATCAAAATATTAATAAATTTTTTTGTTCTTGATCAAAATATCAAGCACTATTAGATTGTTTATTTACAAGAATAATTTTATATTTACAACATTCTAAAATCTAATACAATTTTTATCACTTACCAATTTATAAAGAAATAAATATGAAAAAAATTTTTTATCCAAAAATTTATAAATATTGACTAAATTATTAAAATATGTAAACCGACTATAAGGAAATCCTTATTTACCATTTTATAAAGTTTGAATCAATTGTCAATTCACCTGTGTTTTAAAACTATACCAATAAACAATACAATAAATAGATTTTATTATTTTTGTTGTCAGGGTCTGTTTATATTTCTGAGATGAGGTATTGTAACTATTTACACTACTTACATTGTTTAGACTGTTGTTCTCATCTTTTATTGTCATATTCATGAGGTTTTGTTCTTGTTATGCCATTTCTGGGTGTCCAGAAAAGGTATGACACACAGAACTAGAAATATTCTACCACAGTGGACAAGATAAAGGGTTTGTCTCAAAATTCGGTGTATCACCTGAAGAAGGCTGAACAATGTAAATAGTGTAAATATTTTGACACCAGTTTCATTATTCTTTCCAGTTCAAAACTTGTTTTATAGGATTAAGAGATCTTACTTATTAATCAATCCTTGTTATCTTAAAGAGAAATAAATTTACTTTATTTTAATGTCAGTTTCCTTATTCTATCTTGTTGAAAACTGTTTTTATTTTGTTTGTTAAGCAAATTTCATTAAAAATTTGTTTTTTCATTCTTCAAATTATTGCTTAGCATAAAGATTACAAAAAAGTGGAATCAATCCTGAAAGCATTTCCTACAATGTCTGAGATGCTGTGGTGCACTGGGAAAGATCTAAAGACAATCATGGATGAAAAGAATCGGTTGGCATTTCCTTTACTTCAATGGTGAGTACTTTCACACTTTTTACTTATTAACCCGAGATCCTATTTTCCCTTAAATTAAAACCAACAAAAAGTTAAAGCTCCTTTCCTTTACCTAAATAACAAGATTTTAAATCTTATGTGTGTGACTCAATATAATGTTTGATTTCAGTTGAATCCGTTTTGTTGTACAAAAATTTGAATCATTTTTTCAGCCAATAAGAACACTCAGAGTAAATACTTCATTTTACATTCCATCTCTAGATAGTTTTTGTTGTAAAGAAGTAATCTGGAGAATACTTTTTTCAAAGAATGGAACAATCAAAACATAACAGAAAATTGGACAGGTTAATGACTATTCTTAGAGTTATATGCAGTACAGAAATGGAGTATGATAAAATTTCAAAGTCCTACACCAGAAAAAAAAACCTCAATGTTACAAGTTTAAAAAATGGCAATAAAAAATTATATCTCATCAACATGTGAAATTATAAAAGCCAATTTTAATTCATTGCTTGATTCAAGAGTTACTGCTCTTAGTTGGTTTCAAATATTAGTTTTCACAATTGATTTTTAAATATTGTATTGAATACTGTTGTTTTAAAAGAGCCTTAAAATTGATGTAAGCAAATCCAAATGGAAGTAAATTTAATTATGAATATGTTTTGATATTGTGTCTGTAGTGAAGAAAATGGCAAATTACCTAGTGCAAGTGAACTGGTTTATAAAACTGTCGCCCAATGAAAAGAAATTATTCCTTTGATATTCAGAAGACAGTAAGCGTGGTGTTTGTGACGATTTTGCGTTTTGGCATATTTTGGTTTGGCATGGGACTATTGGATGGTGCAATGGATTTCTCGGTGTTTACATGTATTGGGATTTTTGACATTGGATCTGATTTATGATTTTGGCATTTCTTTCTGCCTCCTGGATCTTCAAGTTTAAACTTGCAATTTATTTGTTTCGTTTTAAACTTGAGCAGCCACATTAATTTTCTTACAAGCTATTAGGACATTTGACATCAAGTTGATACCTGAATTTGATGATTCTGTGACAGGACAAGCAGTTGCTGAATGGATTGAAAAAGAAGAACCTTTTTGCGATCTGTGTGGAATCAAGAAGTTTGAACATGTTCTTCACTTGAGATTGTACTTAGCTGCTGGTAGACAGCAAATGCCCTGTCAATCAGAGCAAAAAACAGATACCAAACAGATACAACGAGCCCTGTGGATTGCCATTGCGTCAGATTGTTTCCTAGCCTGCAAGCAATTTGTGGACCGGTGACTGCACCGGGACAAGTCTGCCACTGTGTTTCTAGCCAATTTGAAGAAGCTAGCAGGACTATTTGGTGGAATATCTGAGCAAGAACTGGCACGTGCATTCATAGCAGGACTACTGGCACATGTCACATAATTACTGTGCATCTCTTTCAAGATGGAAGACATGACTACAAGTCAACTGTTGGACCCAGCTTGGACTATAATGAAGGATCAGACTGTGACTGAGAAAATGGCTGTGGCTAGCATTTCACCAGTCAAAGCAGCAGCTGATAAACTTCCAACTGTTAAATGTTGGGAGGGTATGCAAATGCTATTGATGGAATAAACTTTCCAATGACTGCCTGGTTCAACAAGAAGATGCACAAGCCCATAAGCCATGCAGGACACACACAACAATGCATTGCTTCTGGTGTTGTGGGTTAGGCCACATTGTTTCAATGTGTCTGGGCAAAGAGGGAGGGGACAAGATGCCATTTCCGGTCTCTTCATCAACCGAGTTGTGAATGAGGTACTACCTGTATTAAATGTTCATGTGAATAGAATCAAGAGAGTGGTACTGGAGGACATAGGCTGCTTTCAGTCACTAGCAAGTAAATCAGCCTGTCAATCCTGGCAGGAGAAGGAGGTAGACATACTTACCATAAATAGTAACACCCTCAAATGTAGTGGAGTTAGAATCATCAAGCTTGATATGGACATCCCCTCCTTGATATCAGGGTTTTGGTAATGGATGGTATGATGTGATTCAGAAGGAGATTAAACCAGCACAACCTATATGTGCTTTGATGGTGAATGAAATTTCTTCAGACCGGCAAAGGCCGGGCAGTGGTCAGAAAATGTAAAGAATGCCAGTCGATTGACCCAACCTCAAGTTGTTGGCCTCGAGGCAAATGTGACTGGAATCGGGACCCACTCGGGGATGGATATTACTCATTATGGTGGATAACACTACCTTATGTTGATTAACTGCAGCCCAAGTAGATTTGCAGTATGGCGATGTCTGCTTCAGCAAGATTCAAGAAGCATCACCCGAGAGCTGGAAACTATTTTTCTGAATGAGGTACATCATTAGAAAACCTAATCAACAATGACACTGTATTTCACATTGTCGTTTAAAATTTCTTGGATGACTGGGGAGTATGCATGAAACGGCATTGTGCAAAGATCTCATCAGAGCATAAAGAGAATTGCAGCAAGAAAGCACCGTTCGATAACAGAGGCAGTGTACTGGCATAATATCCCGCTGAAGAATGACTCATCATACACTACTATGCTTGCTAATATGATTCACCATTACCAACTTAGAATGAAGGGAATTAGTACAACATTACCACCTGATCGTTGTAAGAATAACTTCATGTACAAAGTTAGGAAAGGGTGTGGATGAAAACTCCTCATGGTCAGTGTACCTCCAGGTATCAAGTGGGTCACGTGATGCACATTGTAAGTCTACAAACAATAATGGCTGGCAGGATGCCTCAGCATGTAAAAGACCTTCACCTTTTCATAGACTTTTGTACATCAACTCCAATGACAATTTATTGTCTGAATGTGATCAGGTAATTGAGCTCTATGAATCTGATGCTTCCACAGGTGTAGAGATTCCGGAAACTCTGGATGCACCTGATGACACCTCAGGAGACAACTTTCCAACACATGTAATGGAGATGGCCCCATTATGACTAGGCACCAGGTTAACAAGACCTGCTCCAGGCTGTCCGATTTGTGATCATGAGATCAGAGGCGAGTGTAGCAAAGAAAATGGCAAATTACCTCATGCATGTAAACTTGTTTATGCAACAGTCGATCAATGGAAAGAAATTATTTCAAGAAAAGCATTTGGCATGACATTTGTGAGGATTTTGCATTTTGGCATGGGTCTATTGGATGGTGTGATGGATTTCTAACTGTGTATTGAGATATTTTACATTGGACCTACAATTTGTGATTTCAATATTTCTTATTGCCCCCTGGATCTCCAGGTTTGAACTTACAATTTGTTTATTTCGTTTTGAACTTGAGTTGCCACATTAATTTTCTTACAGTATCAAGATTAGAACTTTCCTTTCTTACTTGCATCTTTTTTATTTATTAATCATATCAATTATTTACTGCTGCTCTATTGAGTGTAATGTTTGTTATGCCAGCTGCTTGATAGTGGACAGAAGAGCCCTTCAAAGCATTGTAGATGTTGCCCAGAAAATTGGCTGCTCACTGATTTCCTTGGGGGGCATTTATAATTCTTGTTGTCTCAACTGGTTTGGTTTGTATTACAGCATATCAACACTGCAATGGGTTATTTAATGCTGACAAAATTTTTATTGCTATAATTTTTATTTTATTATTTTTTTTCAAATATGTATTGCTGGTAATAATTTTTTTTACAAAGTATTTCTGGTATTAAAACCTATTTTTACACTTTCATAGTATTTTGGAGGTTAACTATTTGCTCATAGTTGGGACCCTAACAGGTGCTACCACCCTGGGAACACCAGCAATTTTGAGATGGTTCCACGTTTCTCAAAACCTGATCAGAGGCCTTGCTGCTGGACGTAGTTTAACGTCTTACCCAGGACAATGTCTCAACTAGACAGAAAGCACAATGAAAGATAACATGCATTCTAGGTACCACTTGTTTGAACTGTTTGCCCTCAGGGCAACGTTTTAGTTCTGTTAGTTGTCAGAAAAATTATAAAATGAATCCTGCCAATTTTCAACATATTTTAAAATAAAAATGTTATTAATTACTTCATTCAATATTGTGCATCTGTTTTGTTTTTCATCTGTGTTGTGTGTCTGTGTTATTTTTTTTTTATCTTTTTTGTGTATTAGTGCACCTAGGGACTGCTGCTCAATTAAATTGACAAAGTGACAACTAGAATGAATAAATAAATAAATAAATAAATTTATTAATATTTATCTGAAACCATTCAATCACAAACGGTTAAACGCTATCAAACAAGAGTTTTCTCCCTTGTTTAATAAACCGTGTTTTACTGAATGAGTTGGACAAACACTTATCAAAACAAACAGTAGATTCTATGTAGCTAATAAAAACAAAAATACAGAAACTTTTTTTCCTGTTTAATCACATGAATATTGTGTATTTTACAAGTACAAAAGTTTTTTTTTTTTTTTTAATTGGCCAATTTATTCATTTGAAATGATTTATTTCATTCCATTTGTCTCTCATGTTCAACAAAAATATCAAATAAAAAAGTTCTCTTTTCAGGATTATCACCAGCAATCGTTCCCATATCGTCAAACTGCCTCCAACTGATGTAAGAAATTTTTTAAATTTCTTCAATTTGATCAGACTGCCTCTCTGTAAAAAGTGAATAATCTTTTTAAAATATTTCAGTGTAATTTGGACATTTCGGATTCAAAAAAATATTGAAGCAATTTTTAATGGAAGTTAATTTCAGTATGATTTAATTTCTCCTGAATAGAACTTAACAATAAAGACTAAAATGTCTCAAAATATTTTTAAAAATGTCTTCCTGATTCAATAAACTCCAGAAATTGGAATTTGCTAAATGGGGATAACAAATGGCTAGGTCGAATGCAACAATCACATATTTTAGAACATTTTGAAACAAGTATAAAGACATTCCCTTGTCCTTTGTTTCAAATAGTTTTTTTTTTTCTGAAAAAAAGCCTTGAATATTTACTATATAATTTTATTTCATTTTTTCCTTCATCTTTCTTTTAACAATTTAAGATTTTTTTTAATTAGAAATCTGGCGTTTAATTTCTTCAATATTTATTTTACTTTATCTTTTTCGTTTATTTTATTTACAATAATAAATCTCTTACTTAAAACCATTTTCTGATTCAAAATTTTAGAGAGAGAGTGTGTGTGTGTGAAAAATATATGCTGCCAAAGAAGAGATTTTCCGTGCAGCCAAAAAAAAAAAAAAAAAACTAATTAAGACATGTGTGTCCATCAATCTTAAACAATAATCTTTGTCAATTTTATTTTTCAGTCTTTATGATGGTCGATACTTGGTCTATCTCTTACTGTTACATCCCCAGGCAACGTCGGGCTATACTGCTAGTCTCTTATATATATGGTGTATTTTGGTAGCAATCTTTCATTTATATAAGTTTGGTTAAAAGTAAAGTTGTTTAAGGAATTTTTTATGTCAATATTAATATTTGCCAGTATTAATTATTGGTTTGTACCTATATAATAACTTAGGGACTAAAATTAGGATGGTGGGCATTAATAGGTTAATTGAAATGGTTAATTAGATTAAAAAGCTAATTTAATTGTTTAATTATTTTAACAGGTCAGTTTAATAGTTTAAGCACTTTACTTCACCTTCCAAAATGTCTTTCCTCCTCTCTTTGCATATTTGGCTTTTTTTCCATTCCAGCAACTTAAATTCATGCACACCAATCACCAATTCCTTCTTTTGAGTGCTGCTCCTGCCAAAGAAGAGATTTTCCGTGCAGCCAGAGCAAAATATGGCAGCACTTTTGCCTTCCAGTAAGCACGTTTCTTTCCCTTTGCTTTTCTCTTCTTGCATCTGTAAAACAAAAAAATAAATTCCCTTCCTAATTTATTTACAAGTTGATAAGAAATTGTAAAACTTTTAGTTAATATGAGATAGAAAGACTGTGCAGAGATCCTTTAACAAAGCCATTAGATCTCTTTCCTTCAATTTTATATTTAACAACACAAGGTGATATCAAGAAAGGTCCTCATTCTGTGTATTTTGTGATTGTATTGTCCAATAGAAATGTGCATACAGCTAAAACTCATTCGTACCCAAGCTTACTGAGTCAGTATACCAAGAGACTTCATGTTAACTACTTATTTTCAGTTATTATATGAGTTTTTTTTTTGTAACATTCTAATGAAACAGCTCCATAATCTTTACAATGACAAGTTCAAATAACATGTTTGCATCAAATTTTGTTCAAGAACTGCTGCTTTGTGGAACAGACTCCGACATAAATGTTTTCCCAGTCACTACAATCTTGACCTCTTCAAGTCTAGGGTTAATCATTATCTTTCCTGTATAGCTTCACAAACTTCACTTCTTACCTTTTCTCACGTTCATACAAAACACCACAGTAAATAATGGGTAATTAATAGTACTAAAATAATATTTGAGAAATTAACCGTCTTATTTAGATATTAGACAACATAACAGTTTTGGCAAAAGAAACGTCAAGATTTAAAAATAAGAAATCCTTTAATTTTAAGAAAGGCTTTAAATACTGTCAATTCTTTTTTTAATTCTTTTCTTGTTTCTCCCACTTCTTCCTCTCTCCTTTTTATTCCACTTTCTCTCCTCCCTGTCCTTTCCTTTTCTGTCTATCCTTTCTTCCTCTCATGCTCCCCTTCCAAATTCCACTTAAGAAATGTATTTACTTTCTTGTTTCTATTTTCAGTGGATCCAGTATAGAGAACTGGCATTCTATTCTTAGGGTGGGTCTTTTGAACGCCTCTGGAACTAAATATCAGGTAAGATATTTATCAAAAATCTAACAGCCATATTTTGACTTTTGAGTTACTTTGATCTCTCCAAGTCTGACACAAAAATTAAGAAAGGACTTGGAAGAATTAAGATTACTTTTGAATTTAAAATAGACAGGCTGGGATGATGTTTTTTTTTTGTTTTTTGGGTTTTTTTGAGAAAAATCCACCTGTACATCCTTATTCCACCCTTTTTATTAAATATTCAGAAAATCTCTTCCCACCTTTTTGTCCTAGAATGCTCACAGTCTAAATTGTTTCATTGAAAATTATTAAGAAACAAAAAAAAAAAATTACAAATTTTCTATCTTATTATAATCAGGCACTTAACATTTTCTTGGTTTGTTCAAATAACAAAATCATGCCATACATTATATCATTAACTAGCAGCATGGCCCAGCGTTGTCCATGCTTGATTCAAAAATCGTACAACTCATACAGCAATCGCTATCACTTGACTTAAAATATTTTTGCCCTTCCTTGCCTTTAAAGGAGTACCCTTTGCTGTGCTGATGTTGCTACATGCCTTACTTCTTGCCTATCTCACACTGCAAATTTTTTCTAAGCTCTATACTAAACATTAAATCTGTTACAAAAAAGGAACTAAACAAAATGAACACAAAACGATCAGCTTTAAAAAGGACTCATAACTGAAAAACCGAATGAAAAAAGAATGTTAACAACAATACTTTTCACCCAACCCAGTTCTGCATGGAATCAGAATCAACGTTAGGTTTAAGCAGCGAATGAGCCAATTGGAGTAAAAGTGCCATGCAGATTTAAATTTTTCCCACTTGTGATGAATGCAGCTATCGATTTTTTTTTTTTTTTTGCTAGCATGCTAGTTAACATTCATGTCAGTCAGCTGTTGGCTCTCACGCTGGCCAATAGAATCTTCCTGCCTATTTGTGGCAGCCAGCTATAGGCTCTCACTAGAAAGTAGAAAATGGCTGCAAACTACATGAAAACTGCCGTAGAAGTATGAAAAAATCGATTATTTCCACTATCAATGGGAGTTGGGAAATGCAAAGTCGGTCTTGGCCTTCCTGCTAACTTGGAGCATGTAAATTTTGGTGCAAATCCAATCAAAATTGTGGTGCATTAGCATTCACACACACACACACACACACACACACACACTGCCTTTTATAGATAGAGATGCATTTCACTTGGCTCCAGAGGGGTTTTTTATGATGGCTTTAAAAGCAAACATTTTAAAAGTGTAACTTGTACCCACTACTCACACTTTCTTTCCAGTCTTTTGTCTCTTTTTCGCCTTCTCAGTCATTAGCTTTGTTGAGTTATACCAACCTTACGGGTCATCTGATTATCTTTTCCCTCTTTGGTTGGAGCCGGTGTGTCGTTGGATAGGGTTGATTTAAGTTTCCCAAAATCTTACAGTATTGGGATTGACGGCAAATTCTAGTGTGGATCCTTCTATGTATGTTGTGTACCATAGTTAAGAATAATTCTCAACTTACAGCCTTGGTAACTTTTGTCTCTTTGCATCCAAGGGCAGCATCTGGAATAAAAACTCCTTCAATAAAATGCATAACACTATTGATAACTCTAACAACAGGTTTAATGAATAAAATGTCTATTATTTACTGTAGGATTAAGCTCTCTACTTGTCAGATGGTGATTTGAGGATTTAGCAGTAATTGTTATGAAATATTGGAAAGAAGGGCCTGTCATGCATATGTCTGTGTGTTTGATCTGGCCACAGAAAATGCTGATGTATTTTTTTGTGAGGCGGCAACTGTTTGACGACTCCTTGTCAAGCCTGATTCTCTGTGTGTCTCAGGCTTGACTGACTCTCATTTATTGACTGTCCCTAAAATTTGACATTGATATATCTAATTTCTCCATCCTAACTGTCTTAATTTTAGATTATGTTAATAACTAAATGGCATTACCTTTGTTCAGAATCTTCTGTTGATGATGATTTTTTTAGTGTAGACAGCATCAGCAAACCCCATGGTTGGGAATTAGGCAAAATTCAAATGCTGCCTTGGTTTAAAAGAATTTTGGTTATTCTTTTCTGTAGAGATATAGTGTTGGACAGATATTGTGAACAAAACCCCAAAACTGGGAATTAGACAAAAAATAGATGCTTTTCTTTGTCTAGAAGAATTTGGGTTGCTCTTTTCTATAAGAATATATGCATTTTAAACAGTATGAATGTAAACAAACCTTCAAATTTAATTTCACAGGACCCAAAATATTTGGACAGAGCATTTAATCATGTCTTATCAGCAGGAAGTGGGTAGGGTGAAGAACCTTGGTTTTGTTTAAAATTCTGGGTTCAGTTCTCTTATTGTTTTAAAACAATTTTTCACCTGTTTTTTTTTTTTTTTTTCTCACAACTATTCAACTTACTCTCCTGAAAATTTTAATTATTATTCAGTTAGTAGTCCCTACAAATCATCATCCTGCAATTTATTGCAATTTTTAAACAGGGTCAGTATCCAGTTACAAAATTATAGATTAATATGTAAAAATATATTTAAACAAAGGAGGAAGAGCAAGGATAAGCAAAAAAAAAAAAAAAAGTGGTGAATTGAAAAATTATAACGAAAAAGAAACAAAGGCTAGCTAGTTATCAATCCTTGGTCTTCAGGGCTCAATTGAAGACAAAACAAATGTGCATGACAAGTAAAAAAAACAAAAAAAAACACAGACACACCCCTAGAGAATCAGCAATATAAATCACAGACAGACTGCATTTAGAGCCAGTAACCATCCTTTCCGCTTACAAACAGAACATTATTTAGGCTTTATATATATAGTGCCTGTATTGAGTACTCAAGAGTATGGAGTGATAACTTGATGTCTCCTTGTTATTTTTCATTCTCCAGTGAATAATAATTTTTTGTTTCTCTTGGCTTTTCCTCTTTATATTAATATATACAAATACATTAACACATACTTTTAAAATGTGTTTTTAAAGCCATAATTATTATATACTGTACCTATGAATACTAATGGGTATGTCCCAATCCTCATAAATATATTGGACACTATTGTAAGTGGGAGTAATATGCTAAGTAGTCCACCACTAGCAGTGGTTTACCTACTTCACGCCGCTGGCGAGTATTTTATTTTGTTGATGTTATAAAGATTACCATTTCCTTTCCAATCTCCGTTTTGGTTATTCCTCATTCAGTAACCTTTTCTAGCTTACAACAATAATAAGAGCCAATTTTTTTTTTCCCTCCCAGGTATTGTATCTGATTCTATGTGAAGGTTTGCATAATATAATAAAGAATTTGAACTTATGGTTACATCTAGCATTTTCAGCTGTAAAATGATGAGACCTAGCTCTAAATTTAAGCACTGTACTAGATTGGCAAAGTTGAAGTACCACGGAGAAAAAAAAATGTCAGAACAATCATGATGAAAATATAAAAAAATGCACCATAAGGCATCGGGAAAGTGACTGAAGCTGAGATGCCAGATCAGGACCAATAATATTGCTGATTCTTCTTTTGGATTTTATCAAGGACCTTGGACTATATCTGACAGCAATATTCTAAGCATGGACAAATGGTAGACCTATAGATACATAAGATAGATTCTGGAGAGAAAAATTGTCTAGCATAACACAGTGAACCAACTTTCCTAGCAGCTGAACTAGTAATGAATTCAGTATAACTTTTCCACTTCATGTCGGCCAAGAATGTAGGCACAATGAATCACTCTCCTGGAGGTTAGCACCAGCCATGCTGATGGAAAAGCAGAAAAGAGTCTTTCAAATGATTAATGGAGAGAAGTTTAGTTTTGGAGGTTTTGAAATTAACAAACCATTCCTTGCTCCAGTTAACAACTGACTGTAGGTCATTTTTGAGATTAGCTGCCAATTTGACCTTATTGAACTGATCAGACTGTCAAGTCAGGAGTAAATGGTTGTATCATTAGCATAGATGCCAAGCTATATTACAATGATACGAAAGTAACAGAAGCCGAGATTCAAGGTCAGGACCAATAACATTGCAGATTCTTTGGATTTTGTCAAGCATACATAGCAGAAGCACCAGACCAGCTGTGGCAGCAATATTCAATGCATGGGCAAATGGTAAACTTATGAAGGTGTGAGAAAAATTGTCTAGGACGGCGTGTTCAAAGATTTTCATCTTCCAGCTATAAAAAAAAAAAAAAACACTTGACAGTTCCAGCTGTGACAACATTATATAGGGCCCACTTGACTCCATGTATGTTCAGCTGGTCATACGAATGGGAAACGACCTATTGTGCCAAAAAGCAAACCTTACTAAAAAAAAACTTATTTACAGGGTGGTCTGAAATTCTTGTCTACCAAAAAGTAATGAGAACAATAGAAATATTAATGAAATCATGTCACACATCCTCCATGTTCTCGCCAGAATGCACACAATCATGTGACCATACACTTGCAAGCAGCCTCTCCCCCAAACTTTAGGAGCCATGTGAAATAGAAAATTATATAATGTAGTGGTAGCAAGACTTTCAGATCACCCTGTACATTCAGATGTTGTTTGTGATTTGCTAGTTCAATAAAAATTGAGATGTGCTTGCAAAAGTCTCATTCTCTTATTTTTCCTGTTTTTAAAGATGAATGGTGCTGCTTATGGAAAGGGAATTTATCTCAGTCCAATCTCAGTATCTCATTCAGTTATTCCAAAATGGGTCATGGCTTCTATACTGTCCAACGAGAAAGCAACAATCCAAATCCAATCCAGGTAAGGATTATGAAGAAAACAATTTCTGTGTAGAATGGTGAACAAAATAAAAAAAAAAACTGAAAAGCCAATTTTTAACCTACATGCCTCCCCCACCAATTCTCAATAGGACAGTTTTTCCCTTGACACCACTATTATTTGAATTACCTTCACTTCTCGGCAATGTTTTCAGAAGCAATGATTAGAATTTTGAGAATTGACAACAAAAATTATAAAATCTATTTATTTATTACACTATATGGTTTATTGGAATGGTTGGCGAAATATCATCTAATTGACAATCAATTCAAACTTTATAAAATGGTAAATAATAAAGATTTCTTTATAGTTGTTTTACATATTTTAATACTTTAATAAATGTTTATAAATTTACAAATAAAAAATCTTTTTCATATTTATTTCTTTATTAACAGTATAACCAGTCTTTGCCTGGGTCTTTCATTACTGGGAATTTTTGCCATTCAGTTGAAGCAGTTTAAGTTTAAAGTCAGCCCACCCGAAAATCAATATTAGTAACAACATTTGGGTGCAACTGAGGCCCATCCCCAAAATAGGGGCTTAACAATTTGAATGGGGGTGGCCCTGAAAAGTGAACTGTATAGTAATAAATAATATTATTGTAATAATTTAAATTATTTATTTTTATTAAATTTTTTATGAAAGATATATATCCAAGAACAGATAGTAAATAGTAAAACGTTGCTGAGAGTTATAATGGACAGGAAGTAGTGGAGAGCCATTGTCGCCAACAATTTGGACTCAAAAGAGGCACTGAAGAATTATCTATCAAAAAAAAAAAAATTTCATCAAAATCAGATGAAAACTGGAAATGCATAAACAACATTTCGATCAAACACACACACACTTTGAGAATTATAGATATAAATAAATTGGTAAATAATTGTATTAGTTTCTAGAATGTTGTAAATATGAAATTACTCTTGTAAATAAACAATCTAATAAATAGTGTTTAAATATTTTTGTTGTAAATTCACAAGAGCAAAACAATGTATAAATTCGCTTTCTTCATATGTTTAGGTTTTATTCTAAGTAGCCGTTTTTAAAAATTGCAAAAAAAAGTTGCATAATGTAGTGAATCTTTGGCTTTTTAACGATTACATTTCAGTATTAGCCAAATAAAATAAAAATAATTTTCTTCATCTTTGAAAGAATTTTAAAAATATTTATTAGTATAATTAACAATTTTAAAAGAATTTTCTAAAGTAAAAATGACTTATTCTTTTATTAATATTTTTTTAGTCTTAATTTTAGTTGCTTTTGATTACAACTATTTAAATTGTCAGTCTGAAACTATGTAGTAAAATTGTAAAAAAATTTTTTTTTGAACCAAACAAAATTCTGACTAAACAAAATGGCACAGAAGTTCATCACTGCTGAAATGTCCACAAAAATCCAGTGCTGATAAATTATCTGCTCATTATCTTCACTAAGCAAAGATGCACAAACTGAATTTGCAGAAACTGTTTATTTTTACTTAAATATCAAGAGCAGCCATATTGAAAATGATGCAACCTTTTTATTTTGTTTCAAAGTCTAATTTTATATTTCTTTTGCAGTTTAAATTAATGTGAAAGAAAGTTATTTTTGATGTTTGTAGTCACTTACTGGCTGTATAACATATCAATGTGGAAAGTAAAATTTGGAGTTCAAATTCCGGGCTAGTCTGTTGCATTCACTTTTGCACAAATATCCTTAGAAAAGGTATGAATTTGTTTTCTCCTCCCAGCCATGGATTAAATAGCAGGAGACAGGGTTCCCTTGCCTTGAATGGCAGCCAATCTTGGAGAATGACTACTCTGAATTCCAAACCATGGAGAAGGAAATGGAAAACCATTCAATTCACAGATAAAAAAAAAAAAAAAACAGTGGAGAACCATGAATTGATGAGACATTATCAAAATTAATAAGAAAAAATATTTTTGATAAAGTTTGCAAAAACAGTTATTTTTGATTAGCTAATAAAAAAAAAATCAGTTTTATTTTTTAGTAGCATGTAACTTTTATCATTTTGAATTCAGAACAGCAAAAATTGTTTTCATCTTTTTAAATGAAAATATTGAAAACAATTTTTTTTTTTTTTGCTGAATGAAACAAAAAAATTTTGACAATGTATGACAGAAATTACTGTTTATGTGATTGATAAACATGGTCACAAAAATAAAGTGATTGATTTAATTTTCATGGCTTATCAACCCTTTGCAGGTTATTTAAAGCCAGAAAATATTATCTTTAAAAAAAAATTCTTACAATCTAAAAATAATTTTTTAGTTATACAAGTTTTACTAATTAACCCATAGCTAGTGGAGGAGGAAGAATTGATGGATTCATACACTTCCCAAGGGTATTCATGTGTAATACAATGAACCCAACTGGAATTTGAACTGTTCTACAATTAACAATTCTGAGCCATTTTCCATTACACCAAGCTTACAGCACCTGGTATTCTCAAGTGTTCACCCATCTAAGTACTGACCAGACTTGATGTTGCTTAACATCAGTGATCTTATGAGAACTAGTGTTTCTACATGATGTGGCCAGAATCCAAAAATAAAGTGGATTTGACAGTAAAAGACTAAAGGAAATAATTACTCCATCTTTATTTTTAAGTGATTAATTTACCCAGATTTTCAAAATTTATCTTAGGTTTTATTATTTCTGTTTTTTTTCCTCTTTCAGCCACAACATAAAAACAGATTCCTTCAAAGTGAAAATATCAACTGCATTGCTCTATGTGAAGGTGAGGTTTGTTTTTTTTCTTTATTGACTAAACATAGGGAAGATGAAAGTGTAGCATAAACATTATTGGTGAGTCGAGTTCAAATCCCTGTTTGGCTTATTGCATTCAGTATCTGTCTATATTTCTGAGATGAGGTATTATATACACTATTTACATTATTCGGACTATTATCCTCATCTTTGTTGCCATATTTATTACATTTTGGCCATTATTTCAGTTCAGTTCGACATTACAACCACCTGAAGAAGGTCGGAGTGTACAATGGCCGAAACGTAATAAATTATTGCATTCAATTTCACACAAATGCCCAATCAAAATTATTTAGTGGCCAATCAAAACTGCTTAAAGTCATTGATCTTTTCTATATTTTCTTATCAGTTTGACAACACCCAGTTCTTGATAATGATTGAGAAAACCGAAAATACTTAAACAAAAATAAAACTAAACATGAATTTTGGACAGTTTCTCCACAATTTTGATTCAGATGTACAACATTCAAACTTAGAAAAAAAAAAAAAAACAGACAGATCTTGTTAATTGAAGTAACAAAACTTGTTACATATCCATATATCTATGACACAATATAATCTGGCTCTTACAAAGTGGACTATGAAGGTTTTTATATGGGCCACATTTTACGACTACTTAGACAGTAAACTATAGAAATAAGAGCTTTAAAGTGGCTGGCCAAAGAAATAAAAACTTTAGGGATCAAGTGCCATTTGGCCAGAAGCTGGAAAGTTCAGGTCACAGTCTTATATAAGTAGAGTCACGGTTGAAATGGTCAGTTTCAAATCACCTGTTGATGAGTTGCTCATTGGGATGTTGGAGAGGTGTAGAAAGATAGTCTTACTGGCTGAAGGGATGTTAATATTTTGTGAAAGATAGAATTAGCAGAAATGTCACATATTTACCCACCTCCCCAAGGCTGTGCCAGGAAATTTTAAAGTAAATAACCAAATACTTACTCTCTCCTCAGGCATCATGGGTTGTCACCCACAGCAAACAGGTGGCCTCATTGAGGGGGATCTGTAGTTTTGGGGAATTGATTTTCATGAATGTGCATTTTATATATTGCAATTTGAAAGAAAAATACAGAAAAAAACAAAATTCTGAATATGCATTATTAATGTTAAAATAAAGTCGACGTCGGACGTTTCGGTCTATTTAAGACCATCTTCATGGACATTTTCATTTAAACATAATTAACATTATAACTTATAACAATTTAACACAAAAGACGATGGACATAAGAGCCCAACTAATTCAAACAGATAACTGAAATTTTATACAGATCAGCGTTCTGTTTAAATATGATCATGTAGTCATCACGTGGGCGATGTTGTTAAGACGTATTCGAAGATGATTTCCAAAAATTAAAATATCAAAAAGTCGATTTCAAGCTTGTTGAAGATATAAGAACCAATTGATCACTACGTATTCCAACATCAACGGAAGAGATTTCTTTAACTGTTTATAAAAATTTTTCAATCGACTTTTGATATTTTTTAATTTCAGTTATCTGTTATAATGTTATGTTTTAAATGAAAATGTCCATGAAGATGGTCTTAAATAGACCGAACGTCCTACGCCGACTTTATTTTTTAACATTAATAATGCATATTCAGAATTTTGTTTTTTTCTGTATTTTTCTTTCATACTGTCGGATTTATATCCATATATTTGCTCACATATTGCAATTTGTATTGCTGGTATTTTTACTATAAAAACACATCTTCACACTTTCGTAGTATTCAGACTCCAGTTTGGGGGGGGGTAATTATTTGCCCATAGCTGGGACCCTAACAGGTACTACCACCCTGTGTAAGAATGGACCTGGGAAATCTCATCTCATAAATATAGACAGATGTAACTATGGACATTGTTCAGACTGTTTTTCTCATATTTATTGCCACATTCAAAAAGGGGCTCAGTTTGAAATTCCAAAAATAACCCCTGACGAAGGCTGGAGTGTACAATGACCGAAACATCGTGAATATGGCAGTAAAAATCAGAACTACAGTCCAAACAATGGTTTAAATAACCAAATATATTGATAACAGGATTTGTGTTTTCATTTCTCACCACAGTGATATTTTTTATCTTTTGGGAACGTACACCAAGCCTTCCCTAGTTTTTGTTTACACTGATGTGAAATAGAGTCAAAAGACCACATGAACTCATTTGTCTATTCAGTGAAAGATTAAGAGATGGGGGGGGATCATTTAAGCATCATCATCATCATCATCATATTTAATTTGCTTAACTACTGACCTTGGTGTTGTAAAGGCTACTGGATCAGAATTGTTAATCAGAGAGCTGAGTTCCAATTTCCATTGGGTTCATTATATTAACTTACATGCAAATACCCTTGAGAAAGGTATGAATCCACCTCTTCTACCCCAGCTATGGGTTACCTGTCCTGGGTATGATGATAAACTGCATCCAGCAGCAAGGTCTCTGATTGGGAGGTTTTCAGGAGCGTGGAACCACCTCTTAAGTGGTTTTGGGAATAATACCACTTACGCTCCTCAAAACCTTCCAATCAGGTCAACTCTTACACAGGTTGTTAAAAACGTAGAGATAAAAAAAAAAAAAATAGTTAAATATTCTTCTCTTGCTGATAGATTTTTTTTACTCCTGTGACAGTGGAGACTTCTGGGGTTATTGGCCCTCATTCAATAGCCTTCCTTCAGAGGATTGGCATGATGGCATCTCGATTAAGGGATGAACCTTGCAAAATGGAGTGGCTCTTGCAGCCTGTCTCACTGACAATGGTTTGAGGTAACGCTTTCTCCATCATTGTGGCTGGCAGAGGATAGCAAAAAAAAAGAACATTTTGTTTATAGTTATTTTTCGAATAACACAAGCGGATGCTGGGATTCTTGGCCAGGCCCACATCTGAAAATATAATTCCGCCATATTTTTCTTTCTTTCGAAAACATTTCTTGTTTAAATTGAGAATTTTTCATCTCTACTTTGTAAAATATTTTAAACTATTTTAATCCGACCTCCACATTTGTTTTAATAAAGTCATTTTGATTTTGTCTTGCAAAAGTCCACATTGAATGAAAAAAAAAAAATACATAAAACAGAACTGCTTCAAAGCATTACAATTAGTATAGGTCACTGACAGGCGGGCAGATTGCATATCACTCCTAAAATTATATAGAGCTCTAATAAGATCTAAATTGGTTTCATATATAGGTTGACCCGGAAATTCTATCTAAAAACCCTTGACCCCCATTCACCATGTAGGGTTAAGACAGGCTCCAGGTACCTTCAAAACTTCACCCATTGAAAGTTTATACGCTGAAGCCCATGATGAACTGTTAAAAATGAGACATGAAAAACTGGCATTACAATATTATCTAAAACTCAAATCCTGCCCATATAACCCTATCTATCACTGTAACTTCAACCCTAATACAAATCTCTGATGAAAAAAAGAAAATGCTATCAAAATTTTTTACCTTTACATGAAAAATCTCATCAGTGAAATACAAATAAATCCAACTGTAATTCTTAAAATCACCAACTCAAAAAACCCAACCTGGTTAATGAAATACTCTATGATTTTGCTAAATTTTACTAAATACCCTAAAATTAATTCTAACTTATCTGACTATATGGAAGAAATCCATAATGTTCATATAGCTCACCCAAATCATATATACACTGATGGCTCTAAAATATTGAACAGAGTTGGATCCTCTGCTATCCTTAACAAAATAATAATGCAGAAAAGATTGCTTGGCAAAGCCACAATCTTCAGTGCAGAAGCCTCAGCCATACTTGGCTTTAGATATAGAATCCATTGGGTCAGATAGATTCATCATCATCATCTCAGATTCACTATCTGTACCCACAGCTCTGAAGAATAAAAACATAGGAAACCCCTTAATAAATGAATTATTAAATAGGATTAACTCTATAAGGAAAAAGATGCTGTAAATGTCTTATGCTGGATACCAAGCCATATTGGTATACAAGGAAATAGAATAGCTGACAAAATGGCAAAGGAATCACTGAACAAGGCCCTCTCTGATGTAAAGATGCCACATAACGACTTCTGACCCAGCATAAAGAGAAGCATTAAAGAAAAATGGCAGCAATTATGGAACAACTGTGTAAACAATGAACTTCTCAGCATCAAACCAATTATCAGTAAAAGACTGTCAAGTTTTAGAAAGATAAGAAGAAAGGAGGTTGTTTTAGCTAGACTTCATATAGGACACACATACATTACCCACCAACATCTACAAAAACATGATGAACTGCCAATGTGTTCCATGCCAGGAACCATATATAGTCAAAGACATTCTACTAAATTGTAACTTCTAACAAACCCAAAAGACACTCTACAAATCAGATAACTTAAAGAATCTATTTGAAAATATTAATCCAAATAACATCATAAATTTCATTAAAGAAATTGGACAAGATAAAAAAAATAAAAAAAAAACTGTTTACCAAATCTGCTTATCTACATTTTTTTTTGTAACCAATTTTGGAAGGAAAAATTATTTCCAGCAATACATATGACTCAACAAAATTCCTCTTTATAAAATATGTCAATGAAACCTGATCTACACAATGATTCCTTACAATGAATACATACTCTATTCATACGAACCTATCAGAAAAATCTTGTCAGCATTAAATAATTCTTTGAGGTTGACATGTTGTTAAACTATGTCACTAAAACATTATTTTCTAAAAAAAAAAAAAAAAAAATCTTCCAATCTAAAAAATTTTCTGGCATTAAATAACCTGCAATGGGTTGATAAACCGTAGAAAATTAGTTAATCAATACCTGACGTTACTAACCTCTGATTGATATCAAATTATTTCCTATTTATATTATTTGCAATTCTTTGTTTACATTTTTTGACAATATTTAGATCATTAAATGTCTAATATAAATATCATGGAATTCATTTGCTGAAATTATTGGAACAATAATTTATGAAACGTCTTTTCATTTCAGTCATCAAATCTCCTGAATTAAAGAAGCATGGCAATGTTTGGGTTTGTACGAAAAGTGAATTTGTTTGTACCAGGTTCTTTTTTGTGTGAGTAAAAAGAATAATTATTCTAACTTTTTTTCACTAAATCAACCTTTTCCTTTTTGTGTAAAATGGATGGCAGAATAGGGACTGGGAAGAAGAGTGACGGGGGTGGGGGAACAAATTTTGTGGGACAGATTCCTAAGAGGATGTTTCCTTGATCACTAGTCTGAACTGTCAACCCTGGACTTGAAGTTGTTATTTATTCTACATATCCTCATAACCTGCATTTCTTTCCTCCTCCTCCTCTTACATTCATACAACATTGATAACCCTCTACCCTAAGCTACCCTTGTATTGATTGAACATTTAGTTGAAAAAAAAAAAAAAAAATAAAAAATAAAAAAATTACAAAAAGTAGGAAGTTGTGGAGAGCCTTGATCGCCCACTTCCTGAGTGGGGTACAGCCCATAAAAAAAGAGGTGATGGTTCAGTTATGTTTCTTTCCTCATTGAAATTTTATCTTTAAATTGAGATTCTAAAACTGTTTGTTTTCTAATATATACATAAAAATGAAACTCCTGATGAAGCAAAAAAAGATTTTTTTTATTTCAAAACATCTTTTTTAAGTAGATGGAGATTGTAAGGTAATTTCAGATTATTTAGTTGTCTAGATGAGACACCCTACCATCCATTGTTGTGTTTCTCAAAACACACAGGCTTTTTATATTATTCTATTAAGAGCACTAACTTTAAAAATCACCAGGTCATCTGTAGTAAATTTGCATTCAGACACAAACAGATTCTTCTATTATCACAATGTGAAAGGCTTAAAAACAAAATCATAAAAGAAAGTAAATGAAATTGGTTAGATTGTATGATGTGTTCGGTGGAGGAAGGGTGTATTCAACAAAAAAAAAAGTCAAAAATTGCTTTTTACACTGCAAATTATTCATTATATCATATACAAGTATTTTTTTTTTAAATTAGAGCCAATTACACACTATTTCAAGCTCAATTCAGGTTTATAGTTCGTAACCATGCAATGAGATGAGGTAACATAAACCATAGATTTGTCTGCAGAATATCATTACATTATTGTTACATAATTATAGTGAAATCATTAAGGTTTTCTTTTATCAAAAGCATTTTATTATTGCCCGTATATTAATTTAAAATATTTTTTTTTCTGGCTTTATTTTTGAAATGGAATAAGATCATTCTAAACTTCAGAATTTCGCTATTACCTCTCAAGATGACGGGAAGAAAAATGGAAAAGAAAAGGAGCAAAGCATAAACATGTAATAATCCCGTTTATTCAACTTAGGAAACTTAGCATTGCAGCCAAAGAATTCTAAAATGCTGCCAATAACAAAGGAAAAAATGAAAAATACCTAACAACAAATCAAACATAGCATCAAAATTTATATTATTTTTATTTATTTGATTATGTAACTAAATACATAATTGCCAACAATATTTCCGTAAAATTTGATATTTCCTACATTATTTACATTATTCGGACTATTGTCCTCATCTTTGTTGCCATATTTATCACAACGCTTATGAGCACTGGTAAAAATGGTTGCTGAAGACATTAGGTTTATAATACCCAGAAATTCATACCCAGATGTCTACAAGGACACATGGCACTGTGGATAAAGGCGTTGGATAAAGGTTAGATCCAGTGACAGGACCCAAACATTCAGTGGAGATAACTGATATCCATTAAACATGGCACGTGGAACTAGGACAGTCTACCCCAGAGAGCAAAATAAAGGGTTCAGTTCAAAATTCCAACCACCTGAAAAATGGTTGCTGAAGACATTAGGTTTATAATACCCAGGCCAGAGCATACAATGGCCGAAACATTGTGATAAATATAGCGACAAAGATGAGGACAATAGTCCAAATAATGTACATAATAACTCATCTCAGAAATATAGACAGACTTTGATATTTCCTGTAATAAATTCTTAATAAATATTGTTTTTATTTACTTAAGTGTATATTTACAATTCCTTACGGCTAACCATTAAAAGAAATGTCGATGAAAACTGCCTAAAACCTTTAAGAGCATATTGCCACAAAATTCTCAAATGTTGAATACGTCCCTCTCCGGCAAACAAAAAAAAATTATTTAATATTTCAACATTCATGCATAATTATATTCTCCCTCCCTTTCACACACACACACACACACACAGTCCTGAGTATGATGATAAACTACATCTGCGTAAACTACATCCAACAGCAAAGCCTCTGATCAGGAGGTCTTGAGGAGCGTGGAACCTCCTCTTAATTGTTGGTGTTCCCAGGTCCACCCTGACCCGGGGTGGTAGCACCTGTTAGGGTCCCAGCTATGGGCAAATAGTTAACACCCAAACTTGTATAAAAATAGGTTTTAATACCAGAAATACTTTGTAATAAAAAAAAAAAATTATTACCAGCAATAATTTTTGAAGGAAAAATTATCAGCAATATTTTTAAAAAAAATATGACCAGCTATAGATTTCTTCAAGGGAAAATATTCCCAGAAATAGATTTTTGAAGAAAAACATTACCAGCAATAAAAATTTTGTCGGCATTAAATAACCTATTGAGGTTGATATGCCATAAAACAAACCAAACCAAACCACACATCAATCAAGAAAAACATTATTTTCGCCTGAAGTCCTCAGGGATGAAACAGGTCACACAAGAAAAAAAAAAAAAAATAAAATAAATTTCTGCTTTATCATTAATTTGCCTCATATCATTTTTACAATGAGTTTAATTTTTATAAAAATTTGACATTGTCTTAAATATGTTTATGTGTATGTATATATATATTTTTTTTTTATTTTTTTTATTTTTTTTTCCAGCTATGAAGACAGTCAAGTGGGTGGTGCTGAGATTAGCACCCAAAGAACTGGAGTTGAGAACCAAATTCTTAAAGCTGTCCAATGCCGTATGAATGCCATGAGGGACAAGTGAGGCTAACATAAGTAATTCTAGTTTTAGGCTTTCTGTTTTGAGATAAATTGTTGGGAGCAGAATTTGGAATATTTTGGGCAAAAGCAAGAAAAATATTTTTTTTTTTTTTTTTTTTTTCTTTTTTAGTATATATGAAACTGATTTTATTTATCCTTTGTTATTAGGTTTTTATGGTATTACTGCAGGCATGGTGGAGCAATGGATAGTGGCTCAGATTGAGGAATCAGAGAGCCGAGTTCGAATTCTACTCGAATCCATGACATTCAGTTATGTTCTCATACCCTTGGGAAAGGTATTCATCCTCTTCTTTTCCCCCCAGCTATGGGTAAATAGCAGGACAGACTGGTTCTATAGCCTTGGATGCCAATTGGTCTACCGCAGAAAGAAATGGCAACCTACTGCAGGAAAAATCTTTGTCAGTCATGTATTGAAAGATACATGATCGCCTACAAGTGTATCACACATGACTGACTGATAGTATTGCTGGTACAAGGGAGATAACTAAAAGTTAAAAAAGCAAAATGAATACCCATTTTATATATATATATATACATACATACATACATAGTGTCCATAAAGTTCGTGTGCACTTTAGAAACAATTTATAGCTTTTATAGTGCACGACCTTTATGGACACCCTGTGTGTGTGTGTGTGTAATATATATATATATATATATATATATATATATATATATATATATATATATATATATATAATATTAAACAACGTCATATAATTGGCCCCTACTAAACACTCTTAATGACATAATTGTTTGGGTAACATCTTTGGCAACCTGGGGATATTGACCATACCATCTGTTGCCATATGGATACCCCCCCCACTTCTGTGATTTTAATTGGTGCATGCATTAACTACCCTCTAGGCTTCATGTGTTTTGTTTTTGTTTGTTTTGTGGCACATCAACCTCAGTGGGTCATTTAATGCTAGGCTTTATAAGGTTACATCATTTCCTGGAGTGTTTGCCTGGAAATAAATATGGAAGAACAAATCAAAGTCAGTGTGACGTCTACATGAAAACTTTTCATAGAGAAGAGAGGCAAAAAAATAAATGATGATAACTTTGCACAAACATAGAATGCCTCGGAATATCAAACTGTTAAAAAAAAAAAAATACTTAAATGTAAGGACCTAACATTTGTTTTATTCCCCTTTTATTTAACCTGTTGAATTAATGGATTTTATTGCATCAGACGTTATTTTTAGTGCATACATATATCTAAATAGAGGCTCTGTTTATTTTAAACTGTATTTATCTGCATGCTCAAGAAAACTTAAATTTTAGCAAACTATTTATTTATAATTAATATTACTTCCCTTTCCATTGCATTCTTTTTCAAGGCCTCTCAGTTGCAGTAACCTTATTGTTAATTTCACTCAAAGTTGTTTTCTGTTGCCATAGCAGGATATGGCAACACAACTATGAAATTCAGGGATCAGTCATTGTCAGAATAAACTTTTTGTTCAGTAAATGAAGTTACATACAGAGTGATAAATGTTAATAAAGAAAATGTGCACTACAACATAATTTGAACCTACATCCCCCTTTTATTACTTGGCTACAAAAAACAAGCATTAGAAAGATCATTTTTATAGTTTTTTGCATAAAACAAAAATAATCATAAAACTACTTAAAAAAAAAAAAAAAAGTTTGACATTCATATTCAGAAAGCATTTTCCCACAATTTCAGAATTAAAGATTTTAGTCTCAACATTTTTAAATTTTTTTTTTTTTTTGCTGTAGTCATGGTAATATCTTTAATTCTGAAATTGTGGGAAAATGCTTTCTGAACATGAATGTCAAACTTTTTTTTTTTAAATTGTTAATTAGAACAGGCTGTAAAATCTATACCATCAGCTTGTAGAGGCAGATTTTAACAGACATAAGTTCTGAAATTTCTAAGATGACAAATGGTTTGGAAAATTTGAAGCACTGAAAAAAGCAACAAAAATATATAAAAAAAAAATTGGTCTGAAAGATGTTACTAGTTAAAGCAAATTTCAGTTGTGTTTATTTTTTTTTTTCACCTGTTCTCTTTCTTTTGCAGGTCAAAATATAAACATTTTGTTTGATTGTTGGAGAGAAAGAGAGAGAGAGAGAGAGAAAAACTGGGCCAATAACAGAAAAGAAACAAAAAAAAAAAAGAATTTCCCATCATCCTTCACAAACTGTGATATTCTCCATTTTTATCATCCCCGATCAGAACTGTCTGCCATATTTCATCAAGCACTTCTTTGCTGATTTTACTGTGAACCAATCAAAAACATTGGATCTCATCTGGACAACATCTGTTGCTTCACCGGCAAAAGAAAATGCTCATTCTCCCCCCCCTACCTCTTGACTCATCACAATCTTCACACTTGCTACGTCCTGATCAGCTCTGTCAGTGAAGAAAACTTTTTCTTCATGTCAACATCTGACATTCATGTCTACCTCTCACATTAAAAATCCTCACAAACGTTTATGTCATTATTCGAACTCTTGTCAGATTTGCAGGTTTACAGTAAAATGGCAAATGAATGAATATTCAAAAGAAAAAATTACTTAGAAAATGGAAAATAGCCAAAGAAAAAAAAAATTGATTTACTTTTAGGATCTTTTTAAGAACTTTACGCTTTTTGTTTTCTTTAAATTGAGAGAGAAAAAAAAAGTGTTTCTACTTATATACACATTAAAAGAACATTTACTAAGCTTAGTCTGACACAAGGCTATAAATTCAGGGCATACAATGAAGTTAGAACTGATTGCAACAGTGATAGCCAGTGAGCTGAAGTTTCTAAACACCACTGTACAACAACGTGCCCTCTATTGGTCAGCATGTGACATAATATGAAACTAGAAAAAAAAAAATTACTTTTGAAGAAAAAGGAATGAGCATTTGAAAAAAATGGGATCAAATGCAGTGGGGTCTGCTAAGAAATACATCAGTTCATCCAACTAGTATTCATTTATATTTTCTAAGATTTCTTCATGGATCCTGGTAATTTCAACTGAAAAGGACTTATAAAAAATTTTTTGCTAAATATAAAGAATGGGTATTTGCGTTGCTGGATTTGTTTTCTTTCTTGATTTTTGTTTTAGTAGTAGATCCCTGTTGCAGATTACCCACTCAGGCACATATGTGCTTCTTCAGCACTGACCAAACCAACCTATGGTTTGCATTGCAATTATGCTGACAAATCTTAATTACAGTTTTTAGGAGAGAGAACACATGATTATGTACGATCAACAGTTTGAACAAGGCCAGTACACTTAGACCCTCAGTCATGATGACTTGTGACTTCATGCTAGCACAACTATGAATACTTTCAGAACAATTTTGTTTACCCAATATTTTTAGTTTAATCTAACTTATGAAATTACCTAATACTATTTTATTTTTTTTTACATTTATGTTCACTCTGCACAAGGCTCAAGAGCCACTCGAGGTAGAGGGTTACAAACTATAAGGTACAGTTTATGAGATATGTTGGAAAGATAATGGTTAACCCTAGAATTAAACAGCTTAAGATTGTAGTGATCAAGGAAGCATTCTCTTGGGAGTCAGTTCCACAAGGTATGGGAATGGGCTGCTTGAGTGGAACTTACATCTCACCAAAAGAATGAGGGTGGTTTGCTGCAATGTGCAGTGGCATGGTGGATCTTAGCCATGAAGATTAGGTCTGGTGGAACTAAAGAGTGTAGCTCACCTGAACACTTTCCAAGGAAATAGCGATAGAGCAGGGGAAATGCTACTCTGTGAGAAAGGGATTGTAGGCTGGAAAATATTTTGTCAGCCATAAGGACGTGTAGTTGATAACTGAGCATCTCCTGCCCATATATGACAGCAGTACTTCATTTTCGGCCTGATCTGGCACTTGTAAAGCTAGAAGATAGCAGGAGTCAGGTATTTACTGGAACGGTACAGGGAACTGAACATTTTATTTGTATCTTTAGTGATGGATCATATGTACGAGTTCTATTTGAGGTTTCATCTGAGTAAGTCCCAATAGACAATCAAGGCACAAGGCCTCTCTGAGTGAGTGTTCATCACAATTGGAGAAAGTTCTGTGTCTCATCAGCAATAGTTTTTCAAAGGCATCAGAATACAAAACTAATAATCATTATCCCTGATGACTTTGCTCACTTTTTATTGCATCTGCTCCCCCCTCAATAAATAAACGGCACTCACCTTGCAACTCCAGATCTCATTATTCAAATTCAATAAAATACACTTGACTTGTTGAATAATTCTTGACCTAATCTTAGTGATTTACATGTCTTCCAAAAGTTGCCTTTCAAAAGCTAAGCAAAGTGTGAAGAAACGGGAAAATTTCAAATCAGACAGAAGCAATTGAAATTTCTAGCAAATGAGGAAAGAGAATTTGATATGCACAGGACAGATTGAAAGTAAAAGACAGAAGAAAAGCATTGAATAACTTATCTAACAAGTTTCTGTAAATGGTTGACAGAACTGGGATTAAGAGAGATAGCAAAAAGACATATCTTATTAAGAGCTACAAAGTTGTGGAGAGTCATGATCAGCTCAAGGCCATATCATGTTGAAACATTGGTTCCCATACAGTCAAAGTTAAACAACATCAAGCCTGGCCAGTACCTAGATGGGTGACCACTTGGGAATACCAGGTGCTGTAAGCTTGGATGCGCAGGTGGTGTAATGGATAATAGCCTGGAATTTTTTAATTGGAGAGCAGAGTTCCAATTTACATTGGGTTCATTAGATTCACTTAGATGCAAATATCTTTGGGAAAGGCATGAATCCACCTTTTCACCTCTCAGCTATTGGTTAATTACTTCTATCGCTAAAACATTATTTTCTAAAAAAAAAAAAAAAAAAAAAATTCTTACAATCTAAAAATATTTTCTTGTTTTAAATAACCTGCAAAGGGTTGAGAAGCTGTAGAAAACGAATAAATCAATCAAAGCCAAGATTACCCAAGTCCCGAAGTGACATGGCACATAGAAGAAGGAGATGGCTAAAACAAACAATTCTGAATTAATAGGAAATCATTAGTGTGGAAATTACCTAAAAATCTATCAAACTTTTCTTTAACTGGTTACCATTTAATTTGATTTTTTTATTTTAGTGATGATAAGATAAAGAACAAATAGGAAATGTTTATCAATTTAACATGTTTCCCTTTTATTAAAGCTTCATCAGAGAATAAGATATAAAGAAAAGAACAAAGAAAAAATCTTGGTATCTTTACTTTAGTGTTGTTTTAATTTTCATTGGTTAATCATGGAAATGTGCAAATGTTATTATACCTTTATAAGAACTTCAATATAATCCATAATGGAAAAAGGAAGAAGAAAAGCTTGGCTTTGCTAATGATTTGCATTGAGCATGTTCAAGACATCTGTGTATCGTAAGCCACCATCTATATAATGGAAAAAAAAAAAAAAAGAGAGACCATCTGTTGCATTCTGTGTTGCCATTTACCTCAGACCTAAACGTCACTTCATTGACTGTATCAACAAAAAACTTTTCTTATTCATTTTTTATACAAGAAAAGCAGATTTAATATCATCGATTCTAGAAGGTAGTGGTAAAAGAACTTCAGGAGAATGCATAGCCAATTGTTTGATTGGCATTCTGCAGCTTGGCTTACTGCAGAAAGTGCATGTCGACACATCAAAATTCTTGCAGCCTTTGGTGGCTTCATGCCATTTTTGTCCTTAAATCTAATCCATCACTGTCAGAATTCTCTGCTCCAAAGATATTCTGACCAATCATTGGCCATCCTGACCCAACCGCCACATTCTGTAACACTACATCAGCAAATAAAATTAGTAAATAGTGAGCCAGATGCATACAAACATGCAATGATCAGCATTAAAAACACTCTTCAGGGTAACATTGGCTTCCATAATGATTTGTCCTATGACTTATCGACCTTTCAGGAGTCATTTAAAGCCATAACATTTTTTAATCCAATTCACCCCAAGCAAAGCAGTAAAGCCACTGAGACATAATGGGTTACTGTGGCAAAGAATTAAAAAACAGAAAACCTTAAGGAGCAAGAACAATAGAAAAGTAATCAGGAAGACGATAAGTCATGATTGACATTGCATTTAAACTTTTGAAGATCAAAGTTGGCTGAAAACCATGTAGCTGTAATAGTAAGAAGTGTGAGAAAAGAAGCTGTTAGCATAGAATTTACAGTTACATCCTCAGCCAATTCAACTGTAAATTGATGAGACCTCATTGCCAGTCTAGCGCTGCACTTAAATTCATAATGTCTAGGTACCATAGTGAAGAGCACATTTGAACAATTACCATGAAAGTATTTATAGAAAAGGCACAGGGAAGCAAACTTACTGAGGTGGGGAAATGACTGAGGCTGAGATGCCAGATCACGATCAAAATTATTGCTGATTTTCTTTGGATTTTATCAAGAATCTATAAATAGATAGCAGAAGCACCAGACCATATGTAGCAGCAATATTCAAATCATGGATGAATGGTAGACTTATAGATATATAGATTCTGGCAAGAAAAATTGTCTAGCAGGACACAGTAAATCAACTTTCTTAGTGGTAGACCTAGCAATGGATTCAATATAATCTTTCCACTTCATGTCAGCTGAGAATGTCTGCTCATGAAGTCACTCTCCTATGCTGATGGAAGGGGTCCCTCTGATGATTAATGGAGAGCAGTTTTGTTTTGGAGGCATTAAAATTAACAAGCCATTCTTTGCCCCAGTTAACAACAGACTAGGTAATTTTTGAGATCAATGGCCAATTTGATCTTATTGAACTGATCAGACTTTCTATTGCAACTGGAGTAAATAGTATCTATGCTGATGACACAACTAAGTTGAGAACTGTTGCCATTAGGATGGTCACTAATGAAAATTAACAAAGTAGGCCCAAAGATAGAGCCCTGAGGAACACCTGCATTAGTACAGAAGGATCTAGACGAGTGGCAATTCAGGACAACTTTCATTTCACAATTTGATAAGAATGAATCAGTTCAATAATTTGTCATCTGGAGACACCATAACCTTTCAATTTGTGAAGACCAGCATATCAAAACCTGTCAAACATCTTCAAGATATCCAAAGCAACAGCCAGAGTGTTACCCTTATTATCTAAAACTTAAACTCTTTCAGCAATAATCATTAATACACCAGCAGTTGATCTAGAAAAACGAAAGCCATATTAGTACGAGAAGGTGCAATGATTCACAGTCACTGGAATTTAGCAACAACCATACTGATGGGAGGCAAAATCGTTCTATCAGACGATTAAAAGACAGCAGTTTCATTTTAGGAGTGTTAAAATTAACAAGATATTCCTTGTCCCAGGTCATTTTTTGATTTGACATTATCTAACCAATCAAACTTACTATTAAGACAGGAATAAATGGTTGTGTCATCAGCATAGATACCGAGTTGAGAACTGATGATATCAGGAAGGCCATTGACGAAAATTAGGAACCATGTCCAAGGATAGAGCCCTGGGGAGCACCTGCATTAATGCAAAAAGATCTAGACAAGTGGCCATTAATTTTCAGTTCAAAAGAAAGAATGAATCAGTTAAAAATTCACCAAGAATTTATGAGCAAAACATATTAACTTACCAGCAATAGATGTTAACATCTCAAACTGAGTGAAGAGAAGGGGGAGATAGAAAGCTTACTTTTATTTAACTCACTGTTACAGAGTGGCCATTCAGGACAACTTTCATTTCCTGATTTAATAAGAAAGACTGAATCAGTTCAAAAATTTGTCGTCTGGGGACACCATAACCTTTCAACTTGTAAAGAACAATATGCCAAACCCTGTCAAATGATTTCGAGATGTCCAAAGCAACAGCCCAAGCTTCACCATTGTTATCTAAAGCTTCATGACTCTTTCAGCAATAATCATTAATACATCAGCAATTGACCTAGAGAAACAAAAACCATATTTCTTGTCTGAAAGAAGGCTCTGCAAGGTGAGATGCTTAACCAATTCAGCATCGATTAGGGCCTTTAGTAGTTTACCAAAAAGAGGTAAAAGGCTAATAGGTTGATGGTTGGAAGGAAGAGACAGTTTACATTAGGATTTCCAACAAGCAGGAAAGCAAGAGGAAATGAGGCATTTTTTTTTTTATACAATCGAAAGTGAACAGGAACCAGTTTTTTTTTTTTTGTGGGGGGGCACATTTCTTAAGGACTATTACAGGGTTAGTATGCTTTGTGGGGAGCCATGTAAGGAGTCTGATGCAAATCTGTCAACAAAGACTCAGTTCTGAGTCGAAGTTAGGCAAGGATTCTCTGAATGAGTCAAGAGTGGAGTTTAAAGACTTAAAGAGAATTTACAGGCAAAACATTTTGTTTTATCAGCAGATGAAAACTCAAATTGATTGAAGAGCGAAGGAATAGAAAATGTAGTCTTATTTAATACATGATTATATTTGAATTATATAAGAATTGGATTCCACAAGCATAGACAGAAATGTCAAGAACACTAATCAGAAAACTGCCATGCTCTGTGTACCTTACATGAGAGACATGTTGGAAAAGATTCAGATCTATGATCAGGATAGTTTTCTAACCTTCAGGATACAGAGTTTTTGATCTGACTGGTTAATTTATGCACTGTTCTTTAAAGGGAAAATTGCAATAAAGTAGATATTTTTGGTTAAATAATATATGATTATTATTATTAAATAATATATGATTTTTGATTAAATAATAAAGTAGATATTTTTGATTAAAGACCAATAAAAGTTCTTTGTTAAAGAATTTTTTTAGTTATTTATTTTTTGTCTCTAGTTTGGATTATTTTCTTGGTTTCCAGTACATATCTAAATATAAAATTGTCCAATGTTTGAGTATTTTCAGTTAGTGGTAGTCATTATCAAAGATTGTTGGGTTTTTTTTTTTTATTATTATTTACATTTGGAATATTGTCTTCATATCACATTTCAGATGTATCACTCTACCTTCAAGTGTTTGTATTTAACCTCTGGGAGTAGACTGTTTCAGGTTTTTTGTGCTATGTCAGTTTTTTCAATTTCAGATATCAGTTTATCACAGGACAGATTAAAAAAAAAAAAAAAAAAAACTAACTATCTAATATTTTTGTTTCTAAATTCAAATTTTTCTTTTTTTTTTGTGATTTTAATATTTGTAGTTGGGTTTTTATGGCTTGGAGATGATAAAGTGCCACTGGTGAGGATTTGTCAGATTTCTTGTGTTGGTTACTGACAGCACATGGTTAAATACAGTACAAAAAAGAAACAAAAGTCTTAGATAATGGCTAACAATAAGTGAAAGCATTCAGGCAATAGAAAATTAACATTTCAATATGTCCTGGAAACCACCAGAATAAACTGAAATATGTAAATAAAATACATAAAAAAATCCATAAAAAAGAATTTTTGTTGGCCTTTAACCAAACTTGTATAAAGATAAAATTTTATTTATTATATAATATATATATATATATATATATATTATAAATTAATTGATTTAAAATATTTTTTTTCGCTACACAGTTCTAACCATGTTTCAAAAATGGAAGCTAAAAGCCCCAAATTTAATTTTGTAATTAAATTAAAGACATTAAAAAACTATATTTTAAATCAATTAATTTATAATATTAATGGTCTGTAAATTTTCATTGAGCACTATTTTGTAAAAAT